AACATTGTGTTTCAAATCTAAACTGCGAATCTTCCAGATATTTACCAGCATTTTCACTTACCAACCTATTGCTTAATACTCGACAAATTTTTGAAAAACAATGCAAACTATCGGAGAAGGTTAGATGATAGAAAAATATACGATCATGCTTTTAGATTCTTTCAATTTTTTCTAAAATATCTTTAAAGATCTTCGATAACCTGAATCACGCAATCGCAGCAGAAACATGGACTTTTACAATTTTTATTTTGATCACCATCAGATATCATTTATGCAAAATAATCAAATTTTATTTGCTGCTTTTTTTTGCAAATTAAAATTCTGCTTTAAAAAAGCAGCTTTTTTATTTGCGGTAGAATCTGCGTTATATTCAAAAAAATTCAATTTTCCCTCGAGTAAAAATTGCTAGAGAATTCAAAAGCTTGTGTCAGGTAGTCCAAAATGACTAAATTGTAGCAAACGGTTTACCCTACATAAAAAATACCAGCGTTCTTCGGAAATATTATGAGAAATTAGAAATTAGGGAATTTCTGGTTACAATAACATTGCTCGATCAGCTATGGCGATAAAAACGCAAGCATCCTATATGTAAAAAAATTACAGACATTAGGAAGAGCACAAAAATCTAAAAATACTTACAAAAAATACTTGATTTATTTGTAGGTCAATTTCTATAAGTTGTGGTGATCGATTAAGGCTTAGAGTTTTCAAGGCAACCTAATAAATCAAGTAATATATGATCTTTAGGGTCTCAGAAAATGTAAAATTATATGAATTTTTGTCCTGAAATCTCTAGCTCCTGCTAGCGATTTCATTCAAAACTATTGTGTGAGCTTGTGTGATTATGTATTTTCTACTTTTTGATAATGTTAAGCCAAGTGCATTTGATAACCTGTTATGCCAGCGACAGCTTAGTGAGCAAGCAAAAAAGACTTCACAGCTGTCCTTTTCCATATATAAATAATCACACCTGGCTGTGTGATGATTCCCGTTGTCACGGCGATTTTCATTCTCAAACAAACTACGGCTTTAGTTATTGCAAATAATCTTTGTGCTCTCGGTGAATTTTTCCTATAATGCTCCAAATTGATCAATTTTTTGATGCAAAAAAGTTCGTTATAATATCACTTAAGTTAAACTCTATGTTGTGAATTTTACTATCTGTGAAATTAACAGCGATAAGTGTAAATTTCGATAAGGAACATCAAATTAGGATTTGCAAAAAATCGACAACATCTGTTAGTGTTCCAAGTTTTTTTGAGCAGTTTATTGATTCTCTGAGAAGAATATAGACCTGGCCATTAATCATCGAATTTGTTTCTCTAGAATGTTCTGATTAATCAAAAAATGTTTTAAATGTTGAAATTTCGGTTATATGAACGAATATTACTAATTTTAGACAATCCTTGTATTTAGGCTTCCAGAGAAAAGCGTTCTGCTAAGACGCAAAGACATCATCAAAATTGTCTGAAAATAGCTCATGTGCGCAGTCATTGCTAAGACATTTCTAGAAAAAATTCATCCGAATGACTTGGTTCTTTTCAAAGTTTTGTTTGTGTGTCACAGGGTTTTGTCCATGAGCTTCCTGAACTAGCATCCTAATTTCTTTTTTGACATGATTGTCTAAGATCTCACTTTCTAACAAGTGAAGTAACCATTAAATAACTGAATTGAATCTTCAGGGTCAATTTGTTGAATAAAAAACTCGATTATTATGCTGAGTGCGCTATTTTACAAGTGTATAAATGTGAGTCAATCCAGTGATATAGAGTAATATGAATAAGGAAAAGTAAGGAAATATAACTAATATAATGACACAAACATAAGATATAAATATAATATAAATATAAATATAATACGGAGAACAGGGCTCAGCACAGCTGGCACCGGGTCAAGCTGGATATCGTTTTTAGGGCGGAAAGCAAAGGGGATATCGTTTCTACAGGGGCCGAGGCGGAGAACTGCCGCAAAAATGCCGCCGGCATGCCACCGGCATGCCATTGGCAAGCTGTCCATCAACAAACAAAGGCGTTGTTTTCAGCCAAAACGCAATAGTATGACACCAAATTTGGTGTGTGCATGCGCGTTGGTGGACCGCAACTAGGGGCTAAAATTATGAAAACTTATGTGAATGAAAGCTGTGCCGAACTTTTTTCTAAATTAGCTGGCACCGTGCCAGCTGGGTGCCAGCTGAGGTGGCACCGACACTTGGCTCACATAAATTTTCATACTTTTTTACATAAAATGTATCTAAAATGCTGTAAAAGATTACATACGGAGAAAAAACCGTTTCATAATGTTCTCTTTTCAGCGTTTTATAGCAATTTGAAAACCACTCGGTCCGCTCCGCAGTCGAAAAATCGGCTTTTTCTGCTTCTCAAGATGTGATTCGACCACTTAAATAGCTCAGAAAGCTGTGAAAAGTTCTTTCATGAAATCAGAAATGCATGAAAACACTACTACATTTTTTACATAATATAAAAATGATGACGGGTTTTCAAAACAGGTCAAAAGGGACTTCGTACGAAATTTTCAATATCAAACGGGAGTTCGTTTTGAAATTTCCGTGGTGCCAGCTCGTGCCGAGCCCTGGCGGAGAATTATGTTGTTAATAAATGAATGAATCAATCAATCTTATCGCCGTGTAATTCGTAAAACTTAACCTGCATATTGCACATCATGCGTGCTACTTGACAGTTAAAAAAATCAGGACCTGCTTATTGCCAGCGGTTTCTCCTTGTTTCTTTGTCTTTTTTGATTTGATTGGTTGGTAGAACAAATCCCTACTTTGTTGAACTAGAAAGTTTTGTCAAGTAATTATTGAAAAGGGTGTCGTTGGATGCCCCGTAAAGTGTGCAGACCCACTCACTAACAAGGGAATGGTCAGAAACCGAAGTGCCCAATTCAAGCAAGCTGCACATTATTGAATGCAGCATCGAATGCTGACTCTAAATCTGTCCTTCCTATCTGCACAACACTTTTGTGGATGAAGTTATAAGCTGTGTAGGCCATTATTTTGCTATGAAATAGTGCGCGTAAAGGGCAATCTGGCTGCACAGAGCCATTGTCGGACCAAGACAGTGTAGTGCCGGACCAAGACATGCAACTAGGTCACTTCATATGATCCGTACCTAGAGGTGAGCTAAAAGGGCGATAATGTGCCTGATTTTGCAATTTTTGTGTACAATTTTTTCGCAGTAAAGCTGCTCTTGACTTCGCCTACAAAGGCGTTCTGCAGATATGGAAGAAAGATTTGAAACCAGCGTTCTATGCTGCATCGAAAAGTATGCAGCTTGTCTGGATTGGCCACTTCGACTTCTGACTAATCCCTTGTGAGTTATTAGTGACTCGAAGATATATGCATATGCAGGTGACGTTGAGCATTCCTAACTTAATCTTATTCTCACCTGTTAAGCAATCTATAGTCTCTGCTACACATAACGATCATTATAATATTCATGCCTGAGACACTATTTGCGCATAAAGAATGGCAGTGTTAGCTCCATGGCCATTTTTTTGCGCGCGATTGATTCGCAAGCAAACTGTTGACATTTACAAGCATGACATTGGTTTCCGCGAAACTGTTGTCATCACTGTAAAAGTACAACATCAAATGTTAAATCTATTACTAGACTGTAGCCATTTTCTACAGGAATATTTTACTGCAGACTCAGTGGGTGTAAAATTCTGCTTTTAAAATTAAAATTTCTTTTGACTTTCAATCGATCGTTACTCAGTGCTCATATAATACTCAGCATATAATAGCGCTCACAGTAGGTGCAGAATTTACTTGACTGTCGCATGGGAACATTGCGAAAATCGGGACATTCCCGGAATTTCGCGGAATCACGCGAATCACGCAAAGTACACAGCGCCATAACTTTCTTGGGATTGAATGTGTTCTAAGTCCCAAAAAAACATTGTGCTCAGGTCATCAACGCAAGTCTTTTTTGTTATACGAAATGTCTAAAATATTCTGTTTTCTTTTCTGAGGACATCTACTTGCAACGATGTAACGCAGGGCCTATCACACCAAAAATTCCAGCAAGCACTATTCAATAGTACTATGTCCGTAGATCATCGAGCGCTGGAAAGCACCGGAGACTTCTTTTTAAAAGAGTAAAAATTAAGTAGCCTAAAATTCCACTCACCACAAGTTTAAAAATGAAGCTCTCCTGCTAAGCAGATAAACTTCGTAGCCAGCAGGTCAAATAGCCCTATGGACGATTCCAAAAAATTGAGTTATATTCATTCCGAAGAAAGTCACAACGCTGCGAAGTTCGCCTGATTCAAGTGGGTCCGCGGAATTCCGAGAATGCGGCGGACTTCCGCGAAATTCCCGGATTCCGCGATATTAACGGAAATTTTGCACTTTCTGTGAGCGGTATTTTATAGTGTTTCCCGCCATTTTAAAGGATAATCGCTGCCTTGTCAATGTTCAGACAGCTTGAGTGGGAAAACCAAGAACGTTTTCTTTCCGGTCAGAAGCATTTTCTCGATTACTCATCTAAACATTCTCTATAATGATATTATTCAACGCGTCGTCATGAGGCAGACTCATTTTATTAAACACGTTTATTCTCAAACATTCTATTCTTATGACTATATGATCGATGACGTTCTCATAAATCATTTCAGATAGTTTACATTCTCCTGTAATAAAACTAGCACAAATGAGAAATTGGCAGGCTGTGCACCCAACTCCTGACACGGTTCATTTATTTGAATCAGCTAATTTCGTCTTTGGCAAGAGGTTTTTTGCACGGCTGAGGTTTTCTTCGCGTTGCTAGGCAATTGTTGATTAGTTGTTCCATTTCCATTGATAACCGCAAGTAGGCGAGTAATACTACACAAAATGTGGCAAATAGTCAGTTTTTCCAAATTATTTGCCATTTTCTTCGCAGAAAATCAGCGCTCAAAAACATATCATCTGTTCTTGTTAGCGATCCAATCCCGATCTGATGTTTTCAATCAACACGCATTATTTTCTCAAGGAATTTGTTCCAGAAATTGAAATGAGTGGTTATTATCCGCCCGCAGCACAACCACCTATGCAAGCGCCACCTCCACCTGGAACATTCGTAATCCAACCCGGATATGGTTTCCAACCCGGATATGGTCCTCAACCCGGATATGGCCCCCAACCCGGATACGGTCCTCCACAATCACAGATGATGCCCATGCAAACTTCCGCCCCTTATATGACACCTGCACCAATCACAACTCAGCCGGGAATGGTTCCAGGACAAGGTAGGTTAGGGCTCTGAAAAAGATTTTCGATGAATTCATGACGAGATTTTATACATGGGCAAAAATTCGTTATTCGTTTACAGTTGTTTGGATGTCAGTACCACAACCCATAGAAGGCGTACCTCCTGGTTTGGAATATCTGACTATGGTAGATAAGATAATGGTGCATCAGGTAATTGAACTCACTAGAATAAGAATTTTTAGTTTTTAAATGAAAGATTATTCTATTTGATTGACTCCTGAAACTTTTTAAGTGACTTATTATGTTTTAAGTTTCTTTAAAAGTCATCCACAATTTTAAGCACGTTTTACTTAATTTTTCAACTTATTTTTATCGAATTGTACAAAAATCCATTGCGTTCTAAATCATTCTTTTTCAGATCTATGAAGTGATGGAACTTTTAACAGGTTGGGAGACTAGTAATAAGTATTCATTAAGAAACGCGAATGGAGAACAGGTGAACACTTTTTTTTATATTGGTTCTCGTTATCCGTTGCATAAATTTCTAGACAATTATTTTTACACGGGGAGTGGGGATAAAATTTCAACGAAAAAAACAACGGTATTTTAAGAGAACCACCATTGTGATGCTCTACCAATTTGCTTTAAAAAAATGCTAATGTTAAATTTTTTTCAGGTCTACTATGCTTTCGAAGAATCAGAATGCTGGGAACGTCAATGTTGCGGTTCTCAACGAGGATTCACCATGCATATTACGGATAATTTTAAGAGGGTGAGTTTATTGGCTTTAGCCTTTTAAGGCAATTATTCGGTCGTAAAAAACACTGGCACACTGACAATCTTCTTTGCATAATTTAAGAGATCATTGTTGGTCATGAACTCAGCACTAAACGCGGAGCGGATTTGGGGGGGGGGGGGATGGCTACCGAGGGAGAAGACATCTTGATATTTTTTTGGTCCGAAAAGGGGAAACCTTGCATTTTTTTCAAGGAACAAAAGCCATTCTATTCTCTAATGCGTTAGGCGTAAAAAATGCCTATCTTCATAGGTACAAACTCTAGAACATATTCCATCGATTTGTATTGTTTTGTAGCCTGAGAGAAGGGTACAAAAAGCGTAACCTTAGCTACTCGACGCATTAAAGGCAGCGCCCCACCAGATTTGGGAGGTGGGGGGGGGGGAGGGACCTGGCTCTGGTATTATTGTAATAGTAGACTTCCCTAACTAAGCGACGACAGAAGTTTGCAGCGCGAAGGGGTGTCTACGAAATCTACAAATTCCCCCCCCCCTCCCCAAGTGGCCCGAATCTTACAGTAGGCCCGGACGCCACCCACAGAGCGATTTCGGACTGCAAGGCCAGAACACGCATAGCGCACACATTCATGAGTGCAGGGTCCCACAATGACTCTGCGTCTCTACCTTGCATGCATCTCGTACTCACTCGAATCTACGGTAAGATTTGGGCCACTTGGGCGGCGATTTGTAGACTTCGTAGACCCCTTTTCGCGCTGCAAACTTCTGTCGTCGCTTACTTAGGGGGTCTACTATTACATTACTACCACAACCAGGTACCACCCAGTCTGGTGGGACGCTGTCTTTGAGTTTAATTTCACTTAGTCGAGTTTATAGCATTCGATTGATATCCGTTGACGGAAACTGTTCTCCAATTGTTTTCACTCGCCCGAGCTTCCAGATAAGCTCAGGAACCAACGGTCCCACTGAAACTTTTTGAAAACTTTAAGCCGAGCTGCAACGGTGACTATACTGTGCCCTACAGAAAAGAGTGGAAAAGAAATTGGGAGAGTCATGATATCGATTGCGTGAAATGCGGTTCAAAAATTTATCTGGATCTTGTGAAGTATGAAAAACAATTTTTCATCTTCTTCAGGAGCACCATTTAAATTTGCTGGGAACAAGATAGCCAGATATATAGTTTTCATTATCCGTTGTACATAGACATTTTGACTTTTGTTTGTCTTTATCAAGGGCATGTCATCCTACAGAAAACACAAAAAAAAAGGAAGCTATGCTAATGATAAGATAAAGGAGCGAGAAACACCAAATATCCATTAAGTGTCAAGTCTAATACCGAATTAGTGACAAAACGATAAGGGTTCTTTTCTTGTGAACATGCATGAATTTACCAGTAGAGTTTGGACTATATCATTCCTGTTAGTATTCAAGCGATGATTCTGATCAAAATAGACTAATTTTTACTCAAAACATCTTTTCTTTACGAAAATTGACTCCCCAATTTTGAATGCATTCTACGCTTACACACAACTTATTTGCATAATTTATCTCGGCGTGAAACAGGTCCATGCACAAAATCTTTTTTTTTAGGAAGTCATAACTATACGACGCCCCTTCAAATGCTGTGGTGGAGGTAAAGTCCCCAATCTTTTTTGCCCAATTTCATCTTACGTTTTTCAGGATGTTGCGGTATTTTCGCAAACTTTGGGTTCTGCAGTTCTGAATGTACGATAGAGTCACCACCAGGAGTAGTGGTGAGCATAATCGAGAATGCGTCTAAAATTGTTCCTTGTGCCAGGGCCGTGCTGGTGCCGTGCCAGTGCTGTGTCAGCGCCGTGTAGACTTTACTTGGCGCCATGTATTCATCGATCGGTAGCGCTAGCAGAGCGCTATTTATGTACTGACACAAGCTACTCTGCAATTCAACTGCGAGCTACCCTTTGCTTTAACCAGATCGGAGGCTGAGAGGAGGGGCTCAGTGACCTAATTAAGCTAGAAAATGATCAGAGATTATGTTTGCGAGCGAGGCACAAACTGCGTCGTGGACTTCATGAAGCCCCTCCTTCCAGCCGCCTATCTGGTTAAAGTAAAGGGTATATAAAATGGCGCATATTCTAGGTTGGAACGGTCGAGCAAAGAAGAGCTTGTTGTGCCAGTTGTTTCACGATAAAAGACGCAAAAGGTTCAGTAATTTTACAAGTGGATGGTCCTTGCTGCTGTTTGATGTGTGGTTGTCAGGATAAAGAGTTCCCGGTGAGTTTACGAAGAAATCTGGCAGTTAATCAAAAGTGGTTCTTTAAGGTCGACACCCCAACCGGTGAAAATATTGGTAGCATAACGAAAAAATGGGGTGGTTGTCTACGTGAAGCATACACCGATGCGGATATATTCAGCGTAACTTGTGAGTTTCAATCAATTATGTGCATAATTATTTTAAAAACCTTTTTTCTCTTGCGAACCTGTGTGACCTTTGATTGACACGTTGACGAGCGAACCATTTTGGACCACATCAAAACTGACTGAATATTTGAATCTGTGGTTTAGATGCTGAGCAGTCACCGCGAATCCCAGTGTTCTTTATGACAATCGGAACACCAGTGTTATTACTGCATAGAAGTTACCTTAGAACTTTTGTTTACAAAAAAATTGAAGCACGAAAGTGCTAAACGAGAGTCCGTGCATACGCGCGTATGCACACAGTCGTCAACGTGTTAAAGTGGCTTGGCGTCTAGAAGGCGGGACTTTGTGACCTTATTAAGGCCGCTTGCGCCCGCGACGCAGTCTGCGTTTCTGTCGCGCGCGTGCTCTCTGATCATTATTTAGCCTTAACTAGGTCACGAAGCCCCGCCTTCCAGCCGTCAAGCTAGATATCAAAGGGTACTGGTAGTGAGATTGAAGGGGAAGTCTAAAGAATTGTGTCACTAGAACTACTTTCTTTCATACTTTTTAGATATTTAAAACTATGCTTGTTCATTCCATTAACCAAAAATGAATGGAGTTTTTGAGTAGTTTTCTAAGTGATATTTCTAAGTGAAGATTCACAAACTTGCCACAAAAAAGAAGAATTCAAAATCTTTCGCTTAGAGATATGGGAAAGCCAAGGAAGTGACACGAAATTGAAAAATAGATATGGTATAACTTTCTTTTTTAACAAATAACCGATGGGTAGTAATAACTCTCGCAGGAAATTTTCCAAATCAAATTTGGAAATTTTCCTTCCGAGATTCTTTTGCAATTACCTTAAAAAGAAGGGTTTTTTAGGAACCCAGTTGCCAAACTCTCTCCACAATTTGGGCACTTTTTCTTATGAGCGTATAAGTATAACCACATACACAGGTTTGATTATAGTCTTGGAGGAAAAACATGTAACAAAAACACATAACAAACAGAAACAACAACAAAAAACAAAAAACATAACAGCATTATCGGTTTTCCTTCAATCACTTGAACTCACAGAACACCGACCTTTCATCCTCTTTTTGATGACATTTTATCTCTGATCTATGCACTTGCGATGTTATCGCCATGGCTATGAGTAATCAGCAGTGAAGTCAAATTTTCCTCAATTTCTGAAATATTTCATCTTAGTATTTTAGAAAAGCGATGGTAATTAATATGTAGAGTGAAAGTTTGGCTACATTGTACTCATTTTATTTTACACCAACTGCCAAACCCGACTCCACCCGGCCCTTTCATAATACAGGGTGTCCCAAAAAAATGTATCGAACGTTGTCGATCTTTTATAACTTCCTTATATGGAAAGCTTTCGCGGCTCTTTGGGTGCCATACGGTAGGGCTAGCTTCAACTTAGATTATAAGTATGGAACGAATCACCGAATTGCTTAGTTACTGTAGGGTTACGGTGGGAATTTTGGACTAATTTTAGGCTTTTGACAGACGTGAATTGCTTCAAAACCGAAAAAACCGAAGGACGTCAGACTAAGGTTTTCTGGGATACTGAATCTGATTACAATGTTTCGCTACCGTACTCCTCGGATACCTACGTTGCGTAGATTAACGCTGAATTTTTGGCTTTTTTTTCAAAATTTATTAAATCAGCGTTGCCTTTGTCAAACAAAGTTTAGTTGAACCTGTAAGACTTCTTCGTTTTTTACTAATTGCAAATAATGGGTGTAAAATTTTACAAAATCAAGTTTTGAACACACCTAATGATTTGATTTCATTTGTTGACTTTGATTGATTGATTTCGACGTGTTTGTAACTGCAACATTGATTTAGTAAAATCTAAAAAAAGCCAATAATTCAACGTTACAGTGTGCAACCGCAAGAAGACGAGATGTACGGTAGCGAAAAACTTCGTAAATTAAGTTCAGCATTCCAGAAAATCTCAGTTTGATGTCCTTCGGTTTCTTCGGAATCGTAGAAGCAATCCTCGTTTGTGAAACCTAAAATTAGTCGAAAATTCCTACCGTAATCCCACAGTAGCTACGAGAAATCCGGATTTGTTCTATACTGTAAATCTAACAAGGGAACCATGTCGAGTCGAAGTGGCCTTTCCAGATGAGACCCATACTGCTTTGAAGAGCATTAATCGGTGATTCCAAATCTGCTTTCCAAATCTGCCAAGCGCCTCTGGACGCCGAGTTATGCTCGTTTTTTAGGTCAAAAAATTGAACACAAAACTGAAGCAAAATCGCCCAAATTTGCTCAAATGATCCAGTGTCAGGTATCAGAGCTGTTTATGCAATGGATACATTTTATTTAATATGCTAATACTTAACATTGCTTTATCTGAGCGCTGGAAAGATTTTAATAATCCATATTACCTAAATTCTGCATGCATTTTTCGTTCCGAAAAACGGTCATAACTCGGCGTCCAGAGGCGCTTGGCAGATTTGGAAGGCAGATTGGGAATCACCGTTTAACACTCTTCAAAGCAGTATGGGTCTCATCTGAAAAGGCCACTTCGACTCGACACGGTTCCCTTGTAAGTTGAACTCTAGCCTTACCGTATGGCACCCAAGGATCCGCAAAAGCTTTCCATATAAGGAAGTTATTGAAGGTCAAACATTCGATACATTTTTTGAACACCCTGATATTCATAATCAGCTTGCACACATACCTCCTGTGCCAATCAATACCGGAGCTCAAATTTTGCAAAAAGTCGATGGAATCGATAACGACGATAACGAATAACTATGATGAAGTGCATGTACAAAGTTTGGTGCGAAATAAAGTTTTTGATTGGAACATAGGTACACACCAGTGGCGTACCAAGGAAGGGAGATAGTGTCCTTCCACCCTCCCCCCTCCCCCCCGAAAATGGGTTTCGAAATTCTTGAAGGTTACTTACATGAGTTATAAAAATGTGCAAGTGACTTGTCTACACTTGTAAATAATTAGAACTAGTTGGCAAACCCGGCTCCGCCCGGCCCTGTCAATAACATATTTATAACCAGTATGCTCGATTACCCCCCTGTGCCAACTCCCAGCCCCGTAGCCCAAATTTTGCAAAAAATCGATAAAATTGATATCGATCGATGACGAAAAGTAGCCTATGACACCCACCCCGCCCCGAAGTGTATGTTTGCCAAGTTTGGTCCAAATCGGTTCAGAAATAAAAATTTCTATTCCGCACATACGTACATACAGACATACATACACACATTCAACTTTATATATAAGATGATTTTTAAAAATTTTTTGAATATTCAAATTAGCCTACACCCGCAGAGAAAATTTTTTCCCAGGATGGCTGTCGCCACGTGTTCTTTTTCTAGATTTTAGGGATTAGGGGCCCGAAAAATTTTGGGAAGCATGACGTGGCTAATGCCACCCACCAGAAAAAAATACTTGATCCCCGAACAGGAATTCTGGGTACGCCACTGGTACACATACAGACACAGACATAAATACATACAGACTTCAGCTTTATACATAAGATCTCAGCACTCCCTCAACGAATCACAGGAATATAGCAACTGATAAGGGAAAGAAATTCTGCAATGGATGCAGCACGAAGTTTTGTTCATTACCTGCAAAGTGTTACTTTATTCTCCCGCATTTGCCGATGGATTCAAAAACTGACAAAATTCTGCACCGACTAAAGATAAGAACTCATCGATTTGTTGCAAAAATCTTATTAAACTGATTTGCCACATTTTTGTGTTAGTCGATAAATTTCAGAATAAAAACGAGACTAATTTTGCATCAGTCATGTGCATAGCAGGGATGTCCTTCAGCCATTTCGTTTATTGTTTCTTTGATAGTAAGCTATTGCGACAAATTTTTGAGGATGACAAGAGTGGGCATAGTTTATGCATGGTAGGTAAGAGTTTTAGTAGCGTGGTGAAAGAAGGAAGTGTTGTGATGAGTTAAAGCTACTAAAGGCTTCTGAGCTAAAAAAAACTTGTTAAGAACAAGAGCCTGAAATATAGCTACTGCATGACGAGCAAGAGCCTGAAATATAGGCTACTGCATGGCAAGCGCAGAAGCATTGTTAGTTGAGCGGGCGCAAACGCGACGGGCGCGTATCTTCACCATTAATTCTTGCGCCTCATCCGCTCTGCGGCTAAGAAAGCCGCGTTCGCGCCCAAAGATATTGCGCCTTCATTATGCAGCGGCCTGTAGATGCTCTTCACACCTCTTGCCTGACACTCCAGCCAGTTCAAACGAAAAAGAACTCCAATTTTGGCTTTATTCTTTAAAGCAGATATGTTCGTGCTTCTATCTTTTCTTTCAGTTCCGATTGATCTCGATGTAACAGCCAAAGCAGTGCTACTTGGAGCGACCTTCCTTATCGTAAGCTCAGTCACACTGCTTATCAAATCTAACCGTTCTTTCAAATTTACAGGATTTCATGGAATTTGAGCAATCAGCCAACAAGAATCGCCACACTTAGTCAAAACGAGTTCATCTATATCTTGCCTAGGAAAACAAATTTTCAATACTTGTGTTCATATCCTTGATACTACTCAGTAAATGCCGGGTACAACTTTAACGATAAAATTTTTCTTTTGATCCTCGCATGTCGATATCGCATTCTCTTCAGCTGATATAACGTCAAGCGTACCATCATCTTGTAAATAAAGCTGAATATTTGTTTGTGTGTATGTATGTCTGTCTGTCCGGGCGGAACGGGTGCGTATCCTACTTTTCAGTATAAATCGATATCGCCTTCATCGATTTTTTTGGCAGAGTTCGAGCTACGGGGCTTGAAAAGGTAAGCGAGCAGCATGATTACGAGTATATTATTGATTGGGCCGGGCGAAACCGGGTTTGCCAGCTTGTAACTTATAATGACGGGTTACGATTGTTTACATTTTGCGTTTTGTTTATTTGTGCCTATTACGGAATTCATAGAGCTCCATGTGTTCCAGCCAACGTCCCGAGCTCGAATTTCGTACAGCACATGCTAAAACACGAGAATCCACTATGCAAAAGCACGAACGATCCGTTGAGTGGTTCTCTTAAGACTTGCAAGTCAAATGGATTCGGGCATGTGTGTACAATTTGCCAAAGTCCCAGCTAAGCTTGAGGAATTTTGTACAAAAATTTTGCTCGTGGTGATTGTCATCCTTATGACCATGGTGCGATGGGAAGTTCTCCAAAAGTGAAGGTGGTCCCAGCCAGCACTGGCCGCAAGAAGTAAAGCTGGTGGTGCCGATACTCACTACCAAACAACGTCTACCTGGAGAGAGGGAGGGAGCATTGGACGTTGAAAGGAGCTATGCTAATGTTACTCATCTGTGCACTTACTACGCCTGGAAAATAACTTGGAAATTCAAAATAACGATTTTTCAGAAATTCATTTTTATAAGGACGTAACTGTCTGTCAGGTCATAACTGGCCTGGCTGGCTCTTAGCTAAGCATCCGGCCGAAGCCGGAAACGTCGAACTTCTTCACAGCTTGGGAGGCCCTACCAGAGTATACACTCGGCTGTGCATCACAATTCGACATTCAGTGTCACCTTCACGCCATGATGAGGCGGCCGGTGGCATTCGACTTTGTGTATTCGAATAATGGTACGTTTCAAAATTAGGTTTCGATAATCGAATACATGAGCGGATCGAGGTGTTTGGAATTCTCTGCAACTACTCAATGGGAGCAGCCAAGGTTATTGAGATGTAAACTTTAGACCATGATTTTATAAGGCTGTCTTATAAGTCTTTTCATTTGACTATCTTTTCAACAAGTCACATAATTCCTGTAATTCTTTAATCTGAATAGAAATTGAGGCACTATTCCATGACATTAATAATTTCGTTCAAGCTTTGATCCACCTCAAGTTCGAAAACTGAAAATAAAAAGTTTTGGATGCTAGTCGAATTATCACGTATCTTCGTCCAGTAAAATCCTACAAATTTTCTACTCAGTTACCCGTATGCAACTTCAGCTCTCCATGTGAACGACAACATTATTCAACTATTTGTTCAACGTTGTACTTTCTTTACTTAAGTATTTCACAGGACTAGAAATTCTAGAAAGCTAAAAAGTACGGTGAGCTTCTAAAAGTTTATTGTACACAGCAGCTTTATAACTTACACGGAAAATCGTATAAAAAATTTTTCTTATATATACAACACACTGGGTAAGTCGGTATCAGGGTAAAGCGGGGGGTGCGGCACGCGACCGCCGGATACGACCCCCCCCCTTGGGCCGGACCTCGGCACGACCCCCCCCCCCCATTCCCTACCCCCCCCCCCCCTCCTCCCTCCCGAACTCCCAAGCTAGCTCTTGAGCTTCGGATTATGTGCAGACCAGTGCGTCACCTCTGCTTCGCAGAGGCTCGCACTGGCCCCATTGTCTGTACGCCTTACTATTTCCCGCACGTTAATGACATTGAAACTCACCGCGCTATGCGGACTATCACGAATACTTTGTAAACAACTATTCATTTCAAAGGCTTTTCCATATTAGATCGGTAACTTCGCGTGAATGAAACTTTTTCCAAAAAAACAAATGCAGGAATGTGGTCATCCATATTCGCCCTTGTCTTTGCATTGATGTTAGTGTGTGAACCAGTAAACACTGCGGCTTCGCCATATTCGGTCATTATTGAGAGCAACCTAAAGTGCATGTAAATTCCCCCAGAGTCGATATAAGCAAGTTTTGAGCACGACTGACAATGATTGAAATATGCAAAGACAGTGCAAAAACAAGCATAGCGATAACAACTTACTTGTCCATAAACATGGCGATAATACTGTCGAAGTTAGCTGTTGCTGAGCATAGCTCTTTCTCATCTTCGGATAAATCTGAGCGTAAGAATATGGCTTCAGAGCAATCAACCAACGGGATCAGATTGACCAAAACTCCCACAATCTAGAATGTGTCAGTAAATGTACTGTGAAATCAGAAATGGGATTAAAGCGTGAATTAAAAATCAAGTACAAAGAAGCATACCTGGAAGGTTGTCAAACACTTTCCCATGTCATTTTGATCGAGGCCTGGTAGAAGCGAATTCATCAAATTGACTATAAAGCAATCATTATAGTATAAAAGCAGAAAAGTTCAATGAGTGAGGATTAAGTAACTCAAGAGAGAAATAAACAATTTCAGCCTACCGGAATGTCTTCCCATCTTTGCCAGGTTGATCCTTTGCGAGCACAGGTGCTACAGCAACCAAAACTTGCAGAGCTTGCAATAAACGATGAGGTTCGGTTAGAGTCTCTAATGCTGGGTATCTAAAAAAAGCAGTGTGCACATAATCTTCATACTAAAAAAAACTCACATATCCATTACTGCTGGCAGTACGATCTTTGGACTAATGCTACAGCAACATTTCACGATTGGTGCGACAAACCTGAAGCGGACTCAAATGAATAACTGAGAAAAATGACTTATAAGCAAATTCAACAAATCCCAGAACAAGTATCGCAGCGATATAGATGGATAACGTACTCATTTCTGGCTTTAGAAAACATCGCCAGCTTCAAGCATGGCAACATGAGGGTTACAAACTGGTCCAGCTGAGCTTGCGACAGTCTCATAGAACATGGGATCTGACAGTGGAAGCACCAATTCGGTCATTCAATGACAAATAAGGAAAAAACGACATGGAATGCAAACAAGCTTGAATCCAAAATAACCCCTACCTTGATGAAAGTACGCTGTTTGTTAGACGTTTTCTCCATTCGCTCTCGCTTCACACGAGAAAGCAAACATAGCGAAAGTCTGAATTATCCAAGCACTCAATTACTGAATAGTGGTTAAGCAGCAACTAATCTAATGAACTTCTCTAACAAAATTAGTAAGTGGACTCACTTATTCATGAACATCAGCAAATTCTGTGTGTGCATGCCGTGATTTGATGGATGCAAGTAGGATTCAACAAGCAAAAATACTGACTTCAATTTCTCCATAAGCCTAAAAAATAAAGCAGATAAAAAAGAACCTATGATAGCGCACATAAACACTTTTGACTTACTCATCGTGGCATTCTGTGCCCATAACGTAAGTAATGAACCCAGAAGCACCTTCCAGATTGAAATGTTGGCAGAGACCCACCACATTACCAAGTCGGAAAGAGCGGATAAGCTAAAAGATAAGTAAATATAGCCAAAGGAATCATATCTTATCTCAGCCAAAAGCTCGAAAGATAAAAATTATATGAAATGCTCACCCTGGTGAAGATGACATCGAGCTTATCGCGCCAGTTGACCGAGCCGGGACATTCAACGGAAAGCCTGAAATATCAACTTTCACAAAAAACTTATTTGAATCCATAAGGCTTGGCTCGTTAGTATACCCACCGGACAAACATCTTGAGTATGGAACCCTCAACCAGGTACTGACATGTTTTGCGCCAATGGAAAAAGAGATTATATTCATAATTATACGTCTTCCTCCACATAGTGGACATAGATAAGCGCCAAATACCTGAAAGGAATGGCTACACTTGAGATTTCAGAATCGAAACAAAGAAAATCACACTTGATGAACAACCAGATGTCGCTCCAGTCGAGCTGAATTGACAAACGACTGCTTACTGAGAGAAACAAGTGATGAAAAAGAACAAAAAGGCGAGAACATCACAGCTCATAGCGAGAGTGGGATTCAAAGGCGCGTATCTCGCGCCTCTGTGTGTTTTGACAATCTTTCGAGCGCTACCGTAACCCAATATTTTTTGGCCACACTTCTCAGCATATGGTTCGCAAAAACCATATGTATTTCCTTCTAAAGGAAAAGGTTCGAGGGGAGACAGCTACTACGGAGAGAGGAAGGATGAATCTATAGGATGATATAAAAAAGGCAGCTGTTTGAACGATTTGAAGGTAAGTTAATGGCCTGCGGCACCCCCCCTCAAAACCTGCGGCAGCCGCAGGTTTTGAGGGGGGGTGCCGCAGGCCATTAACTATGTCAAAAAAACATTTTTAGCGGACAATATTTATATGAATCAATAGCCTAAACCTCATAGATTCCATAGGGATGTTTTGAGCCTGATTCGTCTTCTTAGCTCTGAGTAATATTTGGTGAAAGCACAGCGATCAAAAGCTAAAAGCGATTTTGGTTGGCTTCTAATTCAATAGTTTGGAGGTCTTCTGAAGCGGGATTCCTAAGGTGGACAAAGAAGGAGTAGTGCTTTGTATTGAGTGCAAGAAGAGGTAGCTTACTCACCGTTAAGATGAAGTTAATCATGTTTTAAATTACTGCTTTATACAAGGTTGTTTACTGCTCGGAGACCTCAGAGTTCGCTGAAACTTGGCGCATAGGGGTTATTCTACACGCGGATTACGACAATCATGCTTGATTAGAGGTACGGTAGGTTACGGTAGGCATACGGTATCTGCAAGTTTGTGTCGTTGAACTTGAATTTTGCAGGATTTCAACAGCGCTTTTATCAAGTCAATTCAGTCACACAGCTTGTACAAGTGCGCAAGTCAATGTAATAGGCTTGCACACATACAATAGACGACTATGAAGTTAGTGTGTGCGTTCGGCGCATGCCTGCAGAGGGTGTTGAGGACGCCGAATCCGCTATCCTTTATCCTTATAATCGGTTTATGTTTTTCACGCACAACCAGCTGTGTGAGCGGCAGCACAGAACAGTACACGCGAACAAATCCAATGTACTAACACGATCACTGTAATGATTTATCATCTTTGAAACTAAATCTTCTGGTGCACCATCTATATTTCTTTGCTTTCAAGTCAATTTTTTACTCAGTTTCGGACCTCTTCGACCTTGTAAGGTAATTGGGAAAAAGCGTGGCACATCTAAGAACTTAGCTGCAGTCATTTCCCCTTAGAAACCGCTTTTGACCTTGGGTCGATACGACCCCCCCCCTACCTACCCCCTCCCCCTTACGACCCCCCCTTGCGGCGTGCCGCACCCCCCGCTTTACCCTGGTCGGTATTCACAGGTGCTCTGCTGATTTCGGTAACCCAGTAAGCCAGCAGTGTGCGCATGGCGTTTATCGAAATCATTACTTGACATCTTTGCGGTGCATTCCACTTGCATGCAAGAGACTTTGCTCAGAAATGCTGTAAGCAAATATGCTTTTTACGTATAAAACGTCCACAAGCAGATTCTCAGTCAGAAATGGGCACGTCTCGAAGCAGAACTCGACTGCGTATTTGCTGATAACATCGTCCAAGGAGCTAAAACGCTCAAAAAGGCATCACTTTAGTGCCTAGTCCAGTTACTTTAAGCAAGTACAAGCTATTATATTCGTGCAAAAAATCATTCTAGAGATTGAAGCAAGAAAAGCGGTTGCCGAAACTGCGCGCCGCCGCCCTCATTGGCCGATTTTATGATTCCTCTATAAGTTTGCTGCTCCGCGCAACGATAACATTGCGATTGTCCCAGTAATATTCACCAAGCAAATATCAGATCAAAGTAGTTCAGGTAAGAAGTTGACTCATGTCATCATTTCATCGATTTGTGAATTTCTTGTAAGAAAATGCCTAAACTCAATAAGGCCTAAGGCATACCTCGCGCGATTTCGTCAAATCGCTACATTCACGCGACTTGGCGGATTGCCAGGTTTCTACAAACCAACCGTGCTCGGATCTCGAATGCATAGGTGCGTAGATTCCGTAAGTTGTAGCAAAACTTCAAGTCTGACTCATGCAAAGCGCGCTTACTCAGACAATGGATCGGACCCCTCCGGCGCAGAAATGGCAGGGCCGCGGGGTTTCCCCAGCGGGGTGTCTGCCACTCGTGCTCCGGAGCCCCCCGACTTTGTGCGCCGGAGCCCTCCCATTTTGTGCTCCGGAAGCCTCCCATTTTGTGCTCCGGAGCCCTCCCATTTGTGCTCCGGAACCTCCCATTTGTGCTCCGGAGCCCTCCCATTTTGTGCTCTGGAGACCTCCCATTTTGTGCTCCGGAGACCTCCCATTTTGTGCTCCGGAGGCCTCTCATTTTGTGCTCCGGAGACCTCCCATTTTGTGCTCCGGAGCCCTCCCATTTTGTGCTCCGGAGCCCTCCCATTTTGTGCTCTGGAGACCTCCCATTTTGTGCTCCGGAGACCTCCCATTTTGTGCTCCGGAGGCCTCTCATTTTGTGCTCCGGGGACCTCCCATTTTGTGCTCCGGAGCCCTCCCATTTGTGCTCCGGAGACCTCCCATTTGTGCTCCGACCCCTCCGATTTTCTGCTCCGCGGCTCGTCCAAATCTGGCGGACTCGCGGCGGGCAAATCTCTCCGCCGGGGCTCTGCCAAATCTAGCGTACCTCCGGAGCAGAAATGGCGTACCTTTGCAGCAGATCCGGAGAAGGGTCCCACTCGCCTGCCGGTGACGTCACCGCGACCTACAAGAAGGAACCGCCCCCTCGCCCCGCTCTCATTGGTCAACTGGGTCCGCCGCGACTTTGGCAGATTTCGCCTCTCCGCCGGAGGGGTCCGATCGATTGTCTGAGTACGGCCAGATATGAAGAGTCGCTGCAGTGCCAAATCGCGCAGCGACTGGAATCGCGTGAGGTATGCCTTAGGCCTAAGGGGCAATTGAATGCGGTGAACACGGAGAGAGTACGCGATACCAGGTGAGGGGAAAAGAGACAAGGTGCTTATAGCAGCGGAGCTAGGTTTCATTTTTCAAAAAAGCCTGTTTGATCATAGGTCAACTAAATTGATTCGTGACTTTCATGCTTTCTAAGATTTTGGAAACTTCGAAATAGTCAACATTAACAAACAGGAATGTGCTCTTCGTTACAAATTGGTTCTCCACACTACATGGAAGAAACTAGTTGGCAAACCCGGCTTCGCCCGGGCCTGTCAATAATATATTTGTAATCAGCATGCTCGATTACCCCCCTGTGCCAACTCCCAGCCCTGTAGCTCAAATTTTGCAAAAAATCGATAAAATCGATATCGATCGATAACGAAAAGTAGCCTATGACACGCTCCCTGCCCCGAAGTATATGTGTGCCAAGTTTGGTCCAAATCGGTTTAGAAATAAAAATTTCTATTCCGCACATACGTACAGACAGACATACATACAGACAGACAGACAGACATTCAGCTTTATATATAAGATTCCGATCCCTAAAACTGGAAAATCATGGTTGGCGCCAAAAGTGGCTAGCCGCTTGGTGAAATCTTTTTCGTTTTTCCGCATTTAGCCATCGAAATAAAATTTTTCTAACAAATAGAGTTTACAATATGATCTCCTTGATTTACTCTTTCTATTGGTAGCGTGCATTTGTACACAATTTATATGTACAGAATCTGTGACAATTCATTTGTACAGAATCTGTGACATTTCTATGAAAACGACGGAAATTATTTTTTAGCCAACCCGATAGAATGGGAAGTGTCTCTAGCGCATAGCACTGTTAGTAGTAACGATCGCTGCTAAAAATTCTTATGACACCCATCAAATGAACTGGGCTAGTATGTAACCCACTAAACTATTTGCTTCATGCTTGTGTCGTCCCTCTCAATGCTTAAACCCAAGGTATTGCCGTGCCAGCCTCCTCAAACTACTCGTACTAAATATAGGCAATATAGGCTGTAAAATTTCTTTTGTTACAAATGGTTCTTGAAATTATCATTTGACACTCACCATTGACTTAGTTTCGTGTATATCGGTATGCTCAACTTTTACTTTCGCAAACCCTGATAACCGGTTAGGTGCCATTTTGCGGCTTTCATGACCCAGCAGGTAGACTTGACCCACTGGGAGCTCATTAGCTTCGTAAAAGCTGGTCCGTGGGCTAGGCTTACCTACTGGGTCTCAGAATTCAGTAGGTAAGCCTACCTACTAAGTTCCGGAACCCATTAGGTAGGTTGATGAATACAGCCACAGAACTGTTTATGTTTTGGAAACTTGAGGAGAGTCCGAGCTCGCGCAAAAGTCCGAGCTCTATCAAATGGCATCAACCACCTAAAGGTAAGAGAAAGTTATAACTTATCGCGATAAATATTCAAAAATGAAAAGACTTACGGCACAGCTGAATGTTTTGCTATTAAACTGGATTTTTGCAATGTCATCCTCTTTTTATGATAAACTCTTTTTGTGATGCTTTAGATGAATTTTCTTATGCGTTTATTGCTTTCAAAAAGAGCTCAAGCATAAACGATGAATCTCAGAGACGCTAAATAATCATAGAATATGGAGTCCTTTTCGCGATCTCCATATGTATCTTTTACGATGAGGTAACCATTGGCGTGCCATGCTCCTCAAACTACTCGTACTAAATATAGGCAAGATAGGCTGTAAAAATTTTTTTGTTACAAATAGCTTTTAAAGTTATCATTTGACACTCACCATTGAAAATGCATATCGTTTTGCCCTCTTATTTTCTCCTTCTTCATGTGGATGTGTTCCGACATCGTTTTCTATAAGAGCAAGTACAGATCAACATTATGTCAAACTTAAAAGAATAACGAACCCATCATTTCCATAACAATGTCATCGGAAGAGTAACCAAGGCACAGCTGGAAGCTTATGATAGCAAGAAAAATGAAGAGGATTATAAGCTTCATACTTATTTCTTCGAGTCTGAAGTAATTTATGAATTAGTCGTTCAGATATAGGTTGCAACCTTGTCAAAACAGCTCACTGTTTACACAGGAGACCTTTCACACCAGGTTGGTTTTCAAGAAACAAGCAAATTTTTGACTTGAGAACTGCTTAAAAGTAGGAAAAATGAATGCATAGTACCCACAAATGAGTCGGTCGTTTATCAAGCCTTTGCGGCTTCTGAGGTCAATTTGGAGCCAGGTCACTTGGTATATATACTTGGACAATTATGAGCACCTGCTGACCACCCACGGGCGACGCCACGCCCATACCGGAGGAGCGTCGATAGGTACCCGAAAAGCACCCGACAATGCCCGCGGACGACCCGGCAGGCGCGCGATGAATGCGCTACCGCAACCGTAATTGGATTCAAACACTTGTACCCATCTCCAGCTTGCCATGGGGGTCTCAACCACACGGAGATCCGGGGTGATGTCTGGGTTGATTCCGGTCGCCTCTCCGCCCCTGGTTCTAGAGCCAGGGACTCCAAGAACAGTTATGAATAATTGGTTATAGACATTGCCGATCTGACCCTGCGATTACTTGACTTCCAACTAAAGCTGCAAACGTTGACGGTAGACCCATCACCGCGGCGTATCTCACGCAAGTAACTTACTTCTTACAACGGGAAAGAATGCGGTGTCCAAGAAAGCCCTGAGCGCGCCAGTGATTCTGTCGGGCCGTGGCCTAAGGGGCAGTGGCTTGCCCGAAAATTAAATATGCAGGGCGTTCTGTAAGGGCCGGGGCCCCAAGTGTTTTTTCTTGGGCCGCGGGTGTCCTGCTAAAACAGTTAAGGCCCGCGCCTTTCCCTTGCAATAACATTGAGCTGTGGGTTGCCAAACAAATAAATCTATGGCCGCGTATGCTCATTCCAAGAGTTTAAGGTCCGCGCACTGTCAAGAAGCAGTGTTAGGGGCCGCGGAAGCTCGCAATAATTGCTTGAGTAAAGGTTAGACTTGAGTTACTGGTAAAGGACTGTTGGCGAGGCAGTCATCAGCTGTATAGGTAAGCGAGTTTAATTCTGCATTTACTTTGTAGCTCTCAATTTAGTTGCGCGCTGGAAACCTTTTTTGAGTCCTTGCGGTTCATGAAATAGCGCGACATAACCAAAACGTCATTCAAATGGAAAAATTAGGTACTAATCTTAGAGTGAAACTCAAATGGTTCTTAAAGCACTTTCTGCAATGCCGAGGGTAAGCGATGATCGTGCTTGGATAATCCGATCTTATTTATCTGTCTGCTTAGAAATCTAATAAAGAGTGATACATTTTGCAAACGTAAGTGAGGGAGATTAGCAAAAGGACCATACTCATTAATGTATTCTAGCTTATATAGTCCTAGAGACTTTACCAGTTTGACACATTTTGAGTAAGATCCGGTCTGTAGCCAGCGTAAAAGCAGGATCTTTCATTAACTTAATGATTGTCGTTTTTTCTCTACATCACTGCGGAAAGCTTGTGAAACTTTTGAGTGTGCAGCGGGCCGTTGAGGATAGGGTGGAGGGGGGAGGGAGGAGCAAAAAAATTTTCAAAGATGCCTGGCATCAACATTGCCCACGCACGAGAAAACTTTCGAGATGCTTCCCAAAATTTTTGCGGACATGTAACCCCGTTCTAGAGAAAGGGAGCGTACAAGACTAGTTCGAAATTTTTGAAAAAATTTCTGAGATTTTCAGTTATTTATAGGTATAAACAAACCACTTGCACATCTTCATAACTCATGTAACTTGTAGTGAAAACTGTAAGATGCTCAGACGTAATGCAAGCAATGCCGTAGGTGCTCTTTGAAATATGAGATGAAAAATTTTACTGACTACAGTTGTTTAGTACAGTGTGCGAGCGGTTGCAATTTTTATTGCAAAGGGAAAACTAAGATCTGGGACCCAGCAATGTACGTAAACTTTGTAAAGTTTTTTTTATTTTCCAACTTTTGCTGTCCGCACTTTCTAGCACTAAATTGCATTTTATTAGAAACGTTTTTTGATGCCCCAAACTTGAACTCAGCGAAACTCACAACCCCAAATAACAGCTCAGCCGTCCACGCTTGGACAAAAAAGCACTTCGGAAGCAATTTTAGCAGGTTTAATGTTATAAGCAATTGATCTTGAATGAGACAATTTATTCCAGACTAGATTGTGTCTCTTTTTGTAAAACCTTGGTATTGTCCCATACTAGTTATTTATTACTGCTATCTCAAAAAAAGCTTCACTGCACTTCCAGCTAAATGTGGTGAAGAAAACAAGAAGAGGAATGAGAAGAGGAGAGGTAATTGCGCTGTATATACTTCCATGCTCAAGACCTCTGCCAATAAAAGACAAAAAGAGCATAATCTAGGAAAAAAGTAGTGAAAATGATTGCTAATCCAGAGATAATTTACATTGAGAGACGAAAAGTAGAGACGTAATTTAGACCACGTCATCAGGTTTTCCGACAAATATGTAAAAATTTCGCTTGCGAGATGCTTAAAGGCGAGATGACCACTGGGTTAGTGGTTTTGATGAATATCGATTCTACCCTGGAGTAGGATCGATATTCATCAAAAGCACTAACTCAATGGGTTCCGAAACCCACTGGGTTCGTTGATGAATACGGCCACAGGTTGGTGATGATAACAGAGACACTGTGAGACTAAAAACATACTACGGTGACATTTTTAGTGCCCTATTTGCAGGTGTCTAAGCCGCAGGGTGGTCCTAGCTTACATCGACCAGCCCGAATACATCATTGACCTTGCAACCGTAGGTTCCTATACCATGCTGCGTATTGCCTGAAAGAATCGTGCGGCATAAGAATTGCTTCTCGGAACCCAATGAATCGGCTGAGCAGCTCGTTTGGAAATTTAAAAAAGTGCGGCTTATACACCTGAATACAGGGTACCTAGAAAATGAACGTTTTTGATGTTTTACTTATCCTGATGAAAAGTTAGCACGAAACACATAACTCTTGTCATGAATGTTCGCAAGAAAGTGATCGATTTTTGAACTGGATTTTTGAATTATGCAAATAGCTGCGAAAGCCGGATATTTTCTGCATCTGTCGGTTATCTGAGCAAGATTGCGAGCATTGCTTTGGACTTTCCTTACAGCAATGTTTACAAATACCAATATCCATTCTATTTGTTTTCTTCTGGTTCGTAATAAGCATAAATGAGGAAAAATACAAGTGACCTTTTTTGACTATTCTATCGTAACGGTCTACTGATCGTCAATTGAACAGTCGTAGAGTGGCGTGCATTACATGCGCTCACAATTCAAATAGGCATGATTTGAGTGTACGTGAAAGTCATGTCTACCGTCTAATCATTTACTTAAAGGCAGTGCCCAAGCTAAATCTAACGCCTCAGAGTAGTGCCGCTCCTGAATGTAGGCCCAGAGAGGGCCATTTGCGTTGATTCAGTCCTTTAATGCTGTCTCTGGATGGAGATAAGCGACCTGGAACATCGAAAGTGCTTTAAAGCCATATCAAACGTCGCCGAGTCAGGGACTGTCTCTTCGACATGTATTGACGTGATAGTGAGCAGAAGCTGCGCACTGCTCAGTGAAGGCAACATTCAAGAAGTTGCAGCTCCCCACTGGCATACCAGAAGCGAGCAATCCGAAACGTCCGCTCTCTAAAGAGACGGTCCACAGATCCGGGTCTTTTGAAGGTTGTGGACAATTTGAAAACTCATACTGTAATAGAGCCATGGAAAAGTCCCAAAATGATTAAAAAAAACATGGAAGGCATAATTTTGAGTGGACGCTGCCCGTAAAGGCACTGTCTCGCCAGATTCGCGCCCTGAAGGATATGCCTGTGGGGGTTTCTGATCAGCCCACTAACCTTCAGCCCATTGTTGTTAACCCTGCGCCGAGAAAATAACCCTTGAACAGGGCGCGCAACTCGGGCAAAGGATTACTCGGGATCAGGTCGAAAAGCGGCTAGATTTGCGCGCACGCAGCACCACTACTTTGCGCTGCATACGCGCGATGTGGAGAGAGTGAAGAGATCGAAGAAAGAGTGGGCAAGCAAACCGTAGGCGTGAAGCAATATCCTTGCAAAGCGGACTACCGCCATGCCAATTTTGGCCTCATTGGAGTTGAGGCGGACTTTGTATCTCGCCGAAATTGGGAGAATCCCGCGCGGACTACCCTACCCGCGCCTAAAGTTGGCTTCATGCTGTTTCCCATGTTCCGGAACTGTTCCGCAAAATTCCCGCACTGTGTTGCATGCGCTGCAGCTGCCCCGCATTTCTTTGGCGGCGTAAGTTGGAAAATTTTGATCGTTTTCAACGGGTTTTTCTCCAAATTTCTCTCATTTTGGCCTTAATCCTCTACCCTGCTTTTCTTTTTGATCAGCTTGACTTCGAACTCGAAGCGGATTTGAAAAATGAGCGCTTTTCTGCTCTGCGTATGCAACAATCGTGTGTTCTTGTGCTCCTCTATTCCTCTCGCTGTTTTTGTCCAAAACTACTTCATGAGTTCTGTGTTCCAAGAACGCTGCGTAGTCTCGTATCTGTATTGAAAGGGACATAGACAGGTCTCTGGAACACATGAAGTAAGCCTGAACAAAAATGGAAGAAGAAATGGAGGAGCGCACGAAGACCAATCTGCCTGGATATATGGAACAGAACAAGGTTATTCCTTCAACCCCGCTTCATTCTCACAACTTTTCTCATCACAAGGAGAAGCGGTTAGAAGAAAAAACGGAGAAGTAACGATATGGAAAAAGGAAAGGAGCTGAGAATGCCCAAAAACGAAACTAATCAGTAAACAAGAAAAAAGTCCCAATTTATGCATTGCTCGCACTCCCTAAATCATGCCAGATGGTTATGGAAACTAATGGTAAGCAGCGGCTTCCTGGAACAATGAGTTTGAGTAGAGATACAGCGAAGAGAAAAATGGACGAGCACAAGAACACGCATTTTGTCGCATACGCAGTGAAGGAAAGCGCTCATTCTTCAACTCCGCTTCGAATTCGAAGTTCCGCTGATTAAAAAGGGAAACAGGGTAGAAAAATAAGGCCAATGAGAACTGGAAGAAAAACCGTTGCAAACGGTCAAAATCTCCAACTCCCGCCGTTCAAAACGCGTCCGGGGCTGCTACAGCGCATGCAGCAGAGTTCCGAACAATTTCAGCACAGTGTGGAAACTGTGCGGGAACAGCTCCGGAACTTGGGAATCGGTATGAACACAGCCTAAACTACGCGCGCTCAGACGGCTTCGCTCACCTGTTCGGCGCGGACCCCGCGATAGCTCTTGTATTGTGCATGCAATCCAAAGCAGTAATGCAGCAGGGTCTTCGTGCTAGGTCCTCTCAGCTCTACTTGAAATTCTCGCCAAAGCTGCTCTTTGGAAATTTCGTAAACGCGCCAAAAACGGTCTCTTTGCTCGGTTCAAAGCTCAACTTCGGGTTCTACGTGTCGAAGATGCTTAAAACATGCAGAAAGATGGAAACCAAAATCTGCCGGTTACTGCATCCAATATGTGAGCCTGCACACAACGCGTCATGATTGACGGCATCTTTGTAAATGGCTTCTCAGTAAAACTTTTCATGGGTGACAAATTGTAAGAGTGTGTACGATAGACCTTGACCGACACACAACCAAACCAAAAAAGAGGCAAGAAAACCAATTAAAGTCAAAGGATGTACATGTTCTAATCTCACAAATGCTCAAGTAACGCGCATGATAGGCAATGCGCATGGTTACACCGAGGATGACTTCGTTAGCCTCGTGCATTGAACAGCTGGGGTCTCGTGGGGACCGAAATCGCGCGATGTGTCCGATGCCTTGGTCAAACGTGTTGGCTGAACTTGCACTTCCATTCAGAACCCGGCACAGGTGGGCACTTCCAGGCTCGGCACAGGTGGCTTGCAAGCAAGCTAGATATCGTTTTTGAGCGCGAAAAACCCCAAAGTTACGTTTTTTAGTCGACGTTTCGTTTTTTGAGGGTTTTACATTTAAAGATTAGGGTCAAAGGGGACTTCGTAAAAACGGCGAAAGTCAAGAGGGACTTCGTTTTTTGCATTTTCCAAAAGCTATTGGTGCCGAGCCCTGCTTCCATTGTCCTAAGTTAGAATATGTGACCCGTTAATTTTGCTGGATCCTCTGATGCAAATTTTCTGATATATTGAATAACGTGGCGTCGTAAGTATACGGTAAGTAAATGGTAGCCAGACATACATATAGGCTATATTTCTTGCTTATCAGGAACTCCTCGCTACTTACTGTGACGATCTGTATCAAAAGTGCAATATTCGCAGATAGATAACGCGCCCAGTGGAGGATTTCAAAGGAAAAAATTATAATTGCAATTTTTCAAAGTATTTAACAAAGTTGCATCCCGCGACTTTTAAGGTGGCAGATTCAAGAATCTCAGGCCTCAAGGAATAAAGTAGAGTATTTGAGACTCCTTAGATCATTTGGTGGCTTTCATCACTTTATATAAATCCTAACTGACTGAATTTTTTTAGAATCAGTGTTGGAGATTGATTTGATACATACATATGTTTATCCCAGTGAGCTCAAAATTGCAAATCCAGTCATCAAACATGTGAAGAAAATCAGCTGCGGTCTATTTTTGCGAAGGAAGGAGAGGGAAGAAGGAGAAGAAGACTACACAATTTTTTTTTCCGAAAGACCAAACTTGGCCTTAACGAATTCCTTGAGAAAGTTACCAGTTTCATCAGCATCTTGGGCCGGGTCTTTTTCGCTCAGCTATCTAGGATTCAAACGTACAGCTTGTTGATTCCACCAAATGGACTGAATGTGAATCGTTTCACTTCTGGGGTCATTGGGCCTCCCCAGCGGCTTCGGCTAGGCGAGGTCATGGTTAATATACCTGGGCCAGTAGACCCGCCTTATAAGCTACCGGTTTGCTTTTGAGAGTAACGTAGAGATCGTTCCGCTGGCAACTAGAGGGCATGGGTTTTATCTCTATGGAGTTCTAAGTTTCGGAGTCATAAGCATCAATGCCTACATTTGTATACATATCACCCTATCAACATATTCAATGCAAGCTGTTTCATCTTTCTTACATTAATCAAATTAGGATTAGACTCGGACTGACATGATGATGTCTGCTTTTGCTTACATTTCTTGTTCATATTATATATAATCTGAATGTCTGTTTGTATGTATGTCTGTCTGTATGTATGTATGTCTGTGTGTACGTATGTTCCGAATAGAAAATTCCATTTCTGAACCGATCCAGACCAAACTTGGCACACATACACATCGGGCCCCGGCGGGTGTCATAGGCTACTTTTCGTCATCGATCGATATCGATTTTATCGATTTTTGTCGATTTTTTTGCTGAGTTCACCTACGGGGCTGGGAGTTGCAGGGGGTAATCGAGCATGGGGATTCCGAATACAATATTGGTTTTCAGGATTATCGATTACTTTTATCGATTTTATCGATTTTTTTGCAAAGTTTGAGCTACGGGGCTGGGAGTTCGCACAGGGGGGTAATCGAGCATGGGGATTCCGAATACAATATTGGTTTTCGGGATTATCGATTACTTATATCGATTTTATCGATTTTTTTTGCAAAGTTTGAGCTAGGGGGCTGGGAGTTGGCACAGGGGGGTAATCGAGCATGCTGATCATTCCCAAGGGGGGTGATCAGCATGCTCGATTACACCCCTGTGCCAAATTCCAGCCCCCTAGCTCAAATTTTCAAAAAATCGATAAAATCGATAAAAGTAATGGACGATCCTGAAAACTAATATTGTGTTCGTAATCAGCATGCTCGATTACCCCATGTGCAAAATCCCAGCCTCGCATGTCAAAATTTACAAAAAATCGATAAAATCAATAAAAGTAATCGATAATTCTGAAAACTAATATTGTATTCGGAATCCCCATGCTCACTTCCCCCCCCCCCCTGTGCCAACTCCTAGCCCTGTAGGTGAACTCTGCAAAAAAATCGATAAAAATCGGTAAAATCGACATCGATCGATAACGAAAAGTGGACTGTGACACCCGCCGGGGCCCGAAGTGTATGTGTGCCAAGTTTGGTCCGGATACGGCGGAGCCGGGTAAGCCAGCTAGTTCTGCTATATTACTAACTTCTCGATGCGTTTTTTTTTTGCAACACCTTGAAAGTCCAACTGAAAATGAAAATGAATTCACTAGCAAATTTGAAAATCTTGGAGGCAACTTTCAGGAATTTCGCGATCCATTCCCGGGAGAGAAGGCTTGCCCTCCCCCCCCCCTCCCCCCCCCCTTAAAGGCACCGTTCAATCAGATTTTCGACTTCCACGTTTTTGTCGTTTCAGAGCCTTCTCATGTCCCTGATTCCGAATATGAAGTCGAGAATGCTCAAAAACCCCGACAATCCCTCTTTCGTAGAACCCACCGGCCGGCTTTCCGAAACGGTGATTGGATGGGCGAGCACAAATGGATGGGGAGGGCGGGCATGGGTGAGGGGTTCTTGTGCATCTTCGCTATTCCAAAACGATTATCTCGCTTCCGAAGCGGCATTTTGCGCAGCGACTTGGGCATTGAATTGATAGGGGCCTACTATTATATGCTGCCGAAAGCACAACACCCTCAACTTAGGGTGGACGGTGCTTCTAAATTCTGCCACTGGGGCCGTATGCATCAACATCCTCGGGGGCGGCAATTGCACCTCAGAAAGAGTTTTTTATATCTTGAAACTCTAGATATCCGTATTCCACACTGTCTACTTATCCGTAAGTACTCCCATCATCCTTCGCTATGAACGGAAAAGGAGCGAGAAGCTGTAGAAGCCGCGTCTTCAAGCTTTTTGTATGATTTCCTGACGATCCCCTACGGCCGTCTTTTCTTTAAAAGTCGTTTTTATTTTTTCAAAATTAGCGAGAACATCCCAGAGTTGTACCGACTATCTAACCCAATGAGCATGTTGCTGATAAGGACAAATGGTGTTTTGGAATCATGAAATTTGCGATGAACCACCAATCGAAAGTTGAGTTTTATCAAAAAATTCGTTATTCCAAAAACTCTTCTGCTTGTCGGCAACATGCTTAGCACTGTTGGGTAAGATCCCAAAACGAACACTATAACTTTGGAAGGTCTTCGTTGACTTCGAAGAAAGAAAAGTGATTTTGAAGAGAAGACAGCCAGCCACCGGGAATCATCAAGAGATCATACAAAAAGCTGGAAATGGCGGTTTATACAGATTCTTGCCCTGTTCAATACGTTCATAGTGAAGGATGGTGAGAATACCTACGGAAAGATTGGACTGCGTGAATCAGGATAACCGGAGCTTCAGCATATAAAGCTTTCTTCTAAGCTGTGATCCCCTCCCAGGCGGGGATGTTAATCCATGCGGCCGTGGAAGTCACTCATATTTGAATCATCCTCAATTGAAAATTCTTTTACGACTGGGATATGAAGAAACTCTATGGCTGTTCTCCTGAACCAAGGATGAATACACTAAAAACTTACAAATTTGTAAAATACATCAAATACAAAACGATGTGAATACCTCATTATCCTATCATAGAATAAGTATTATAATGGGAATAGTTCCAATGAACGGGGATCGTTGGGGGCACCTGCTTCTCTATTATGCATTCCGAATCAGGGACATGAGAAGATCCCAAAACGACAAAATAGAAGTCGAGAATTTGGCACATGCCTGTGTACAGCATGTGTCATTTAGGTGCTTCCTTTTCCGTACGCGCAGTCGACACGTCAAAACTTCGCACCACTTTCGCGTGCGTATGGCTTAAACAAGGCTTTTAGAGTGATCCAGAAATTGCTGAGGGTGGGGGGGGGGGGAGCAAATGATTGAACTTGATTTATAACAATAATGAACGACTGCACCTTTGAGCTCTACTAGAAGGACGGCTCAATAGTTTCTATTATTTTAGCGTGATTATGGTTTTATTTGTGCATTATTAGATTTCCAAAGCATTTTACATATATTCGATCATAATCCGAGTTTGCATGTGGCAATGTCGAGAGGATTTGTTGATTTGGGACGATCTGGTCCAGCACATCTAAATACTAACTGATGTATGAGAAGGTCCAGCAGTAAATTTTAATTTTTTGTAGGGCATATTACCTGCACTGATAACCCCCATTGCATTCTTTAGTATACATTTTTTCACAATGTCCTCCTGCTCTTCCCTTACATTTCTGGCAATAGTCGGCGCAATTTTTCCATATGATTCCAGTGGCGAACTGAAATACTTAGGGATATAAATGTTTTTAGAAAAGACTTATGGATCACTAAGAAGTCAATGGATTTCCAACAAGAAACTGCTATTAGCAACATTTAGGAAATTGACACTCTTTAATAAGTAATTAATTAATACTAGGAGTTTCATTTACCATGATCCGTCTAGGAGACTTTACATACGACAGCGTTATGATAGATCGTAGGGGAAGGCTAGTAAAAAAAGCAGTAAAAATTTTTTTAGAATAATATGCGCTTCAGAAAAGTCCATTTATTTTGAAGACATACTCAAACCCATATGAGCTAATTACAGAATTTTTATTCTCTGCGTTTTAGCTCCAGAATGCTTAGATTTTATGCGTTTGTTACTATGTTTACTACGAGTATAGCAGTTTTGATACCTGTCTTGACTCCTCCGCACAAATCGTAAAGTTATGCAAAAATGCAGTTAAGACTAGCAAATTTTACACTGAAAGCCCAGCAAACAGCATGATTGTCACGATATAATGAGTTCTTTTCGTAGTGTAGAGCTTCTACAGGGCTACCGTACTGTACCCTACCATATCGCTAACAATTGAATCAAATATCTACAGCGTAGTGAGCACATTTGTGATTGTGGACAAGATTTGGACAGCAGTGGCAAAGTCGCTATCATTTTCGAATAATGCAAAATTCCAGCGGTTCCTAATTCTGGAAATGCATGAAATGCTTAAAAATGACAGAAAATAACAGAAATTACAAACTATCAGTTGCAAATGTCCTAAGAGCTCTGAAATAGCGTTGATTCTATCCGAGATAACTAAGAAGATAAAGGGCGTCGTCAAAAAAGATTCGATCGTTAGCCTTTTAAACATTCAACAGTGCAGTCAGTTGGCGTTTGTTAGATTCTTCTCACATTATTATAACTCGGCATTATGAAACACACTTTGATTAACAGTGCAAAAATTTGTTTTAAAAGAAATTACAGAAAGTTCACATTATCCGGAAAAAAATCCCAGTCATTTTTGGGGCATAAAAGTATACGATTTTTTGAACTGACAGACAGAGAGATAGTTCAATTCAAAACATTTTCCTTCGAGGATTTCCAAATGATCGTTGATCTGATCGTTTAGTTCGGGCGACGCCAACATTTTATTTTGTCTAATCAGTGATATTGAAATTAGGGTATTGGCGTTCAAAAGGCCAGGTCCGGGCAGATTCGGGAGCAGTCAGCTTCGGTGGTTTATAAAGGCGAGCTGCTCATGCAAGCCATAGCCTGGTTATGACTGTAAGATATCGTTTAAGCGCCTTGGGAATCTGGATGTACCTCCTTTGGTCCTTGCCACGACAGATAGTCGTGGCGGGACACGCCGTTACAGCCAATCACAGCGTCGCAACGGCGTGTCCACAAATTCCTGCTTCGGTAAGAGCCGAGAGGCGTATATTTTCAGGCTTAAAGCGACTTTTTTCGCTAAAAACGCAATATTTCGCAGTCGCAACCTGGCTATAGTTTGCATGGGCAGCCTCTTCAATAAACTGTTAAATCTGACTGCTCCCAGTAACTTGGTGCCTTTAAGGCTGATTACAGGAATGAGAATTATGGGAAACCTACCGCTGTCTCTGGTGTGCATCGATTCAAATTTTGATAGCAAACTCCTGATCCTGTGACAGTTACAGTGGAGAATATTAAGAAGGCAATGAGGAAAAATCGGTTCATATTGATTCCAGTGGCTAAAATTGCAAGCGGGTTTATAGCGAGACGAACAGCTGCGTCTGCAAGTGTTTTCTATTGCGATAAAATTGTTTCATGCAACTGGCATGTGATTCACGTTGTTAATTGTCATCGAGTTCCTATGTGTTATATTTCCTCCGCTCGAACTATCGAACTGTTCGTAAGTGATGGGTGATTCACATTCCAACATATGACTGACTCATAGTTTTTTTCAATGAAGTGATGTGCGTAAAGCAGCCTACCAAAACATTTTACCGTGGGAGGAGCGCCTGGGAGGCAGAAACTTTTCTTGAGTGAAGTGGCATACGATTACGAAAGCCAAGAGCACTGCGGAGCTTCCCCAATTTTTTCTGAACTTGCACATCCCAGAAGAATTATACCAAGCAAAGTCATACTTCTAAAAAATTTACAGAATTACAAGTCTTGCACCAAAACAGTTAAAACGCTATAACTCGTATTTATCCAGTACTTCAAATAGGTTATGAGGTACGTTCTATTGAGCAAAGTATGATCTACGAGATGGTATTCAAAAGAGTCGCAAGAAGTTCTTGAAAAGAAACTAATCTCATTAATACAGCGATTCAAAATCCAAAGTTTCAAGAAAAAAAAATTATCGAATCAAAATTGATAATCACATATATGTGGTTGAATATTTTTTTGGTTCTCTGGAAATCGGAAAAAATTTCATGTTTCTACCAAGCAATACTCAGTTGTTTCCACTTATTATTGTATTCTACAAACCTTTAACAAATTCACGACAACATGGCCCACATGGTGGGCAAAAATGCTGTTAATCAACTTAATGGAACACACCCGCAGAAGTTCTCCTACTCTCTAAGCCTAGCAAATAATTCCGTGTGTTTTGAATTGCTTCTTAGAACTACTGCAGACATGTGGATGACAATCTGCGTGAGTTTAACTGAAAATTCTTAACGTATTTGGAGGAGGCATTGTCCCACAGGGTGGACAACTAAAAATTCGCGCTGTCGTCAACGTCTAATAAGTTCATCCGTTTTTGACTTCTACAGCAATTGGTTTCCGGAAATTCATCGAAATCAACCCGAAATAGAAAATAAATAGAATAAAGGAGCTAAAGCGGATAAATTAATTGCCTCGAAGATTAGCTGTTGTAAAACGCTAAATGTTTTCGCATACACTGTCAACTCTTACAACTTAATAATCAAAAGGTACGCATAGTTCAAGGTTAGTTTTTTCTCAAAATTGAAAAAATTTCTGCTATTTCCATTTTCAGCTAAGGCAAGTGTAAGTATAATTTCTGACGCGAAGAACATACCCTCCTTGCATGTTGCTTGCAGGATGAAGGTGCACAGATTTTTTATCGAACTCGCGGGTCGTTGGATATTTTAGTTTTTGGCTTCAAAATTCGCGTGGATCACAAGTTTCGATCTTCAAAGGATATCTCGTAGAGCTTGTTCTGATCTATCCAATGGTACTTCAGAACAAGTACAAGAAATACGACTTATTTGCGATTGTAACTTTTTTTGTGTGCAAGACTTATGTTCCAATCTGACTCTTCACTTGCAAATTGGCCACGGGATCTTATATTCATGAGGACCACTTCAAAGTTCGCGGCCTGTTCTTGAGGAATGGAGTCTACCTGGATATTAAAATACAATGTTTGACAACAAATTCGCGAATAGAATGGATTTAAACTATTATGTATCTCAACTACATAATTCTAGCTTTGTTCTGTCAAATCAGCGCTAAAGAGGTATCCTGCAGAAGTTAAAGGCCCATAAAGTCTCACGTGGACCTCTTATGATCTTTAGATTTTTCAGCTTATTTCAAACAAAAAATTAACAATATCTGGAGTTTGCGTTTACTACATCTACGACAAGACGCTGTGATTAGAAGTGCTAAAATTCATTTATTACATTACAGCGCTTGAAGGAAAGGAAGAAATTTGCAATGCCTTGATAAGTATGTAGAGTGTTCCGTCAGTTTTATGAATGCAGTAAAATAAATGGGTATTATTCTTGCTCTCCAAAGCATCAGCAGTATCTTAGTGAACATTAAGCACACTGGGGTTCTCAGTGGACTGCACATTGTAATCGTTCCATTTATTGTTGTAGCGATAGTTTCATGTGAATAAAGATTTCTGAGAAAAATCAAATTTTCTTTCACGGTCTAGCTACTATCGTTTTTTTTGCTTTGAGAAGTATTTGAGAATTGTTATCATCTTGAGAATAGCAAATTTTGCGCAAGCTCAAAAGATAGCGAGCAAATCTTCAGAAAGTGGACCTATTTTTCTAGATTAGTCTTTCATATCCAAAAATACCTCCCAGCACTTCCTGCACAAGTGCTTCCAAAGCCTTTACATCCATAATCAATTGACAGTTTTGCCGAAAGCGAGTGGATTTTTTAGTTTAATTTTACTTTAATTTTTAGTTTAATTTTCTCCATTGACGCGCATGAAATCGGTGCGGAGAACGCGTGAGCTCGCTTGTTCTCAGACATTTCACCGGAACCACAGGACAGGCAAAATTTGCAGCCGTTTCGCAGGATGTTTACTATCGCAAAGGTGGAAACTTTGAAAAAGGGAACTGCGCTGAAGTTTTTGCAAAGCGCTGCGGCACTTCCAAAAAAAATGCTGGCGGTTTCGCAGCACCTTGACATGCCAGTACTTCCTGCAGAGTTTTGAATATGCTGTCGCATATAATGTTTCTCGCCAATAACTGGAGTGCGTCATCGAACACGTCAGCCATAGTTGAGAGGATAGTAGGTCAATAGAGTAAGGTTCAAATCTTGCCTAAGTGTTCTCTTTTGCTGTTGGGTTCCCCTCAATCGGAAGTTCCGCAACACCATAGTTGGGAATTTCCGCAACACGTTTACGGAACTTCCGCAGTAACCCGCCGGAATTTTTCCGAACGTTCTGCGGAAGTTTCTCTTTTGAGTCTTGGAATGAGGATAAAAAATGCTGATGGATTCTTTGCTTTGATTCCAACAAATCGCAACAAAATTGATTTCGTGGGTGTGTAGAGAATGGAATGTATTTGAAAAAACGGATAAATGTGACTTCAGCCGTGATCTTAATCACTGTACCGCTTCTTCCGAGACTGTCTAGCCAGGGAAGGCTAAAAATTGCCTTCATTCATGTATTTCATGTATTTTGTGTTTTAATTCAATTTAGCAGATTTATTCCAGATGAATAGCTGTTTCCGTGTTGATATTTTGCATACCCTCTATATCATTTGTTCTTAACCTGCTGAAGAAAAAAAAAACCGAGATATTAGTTTATGTTTAACTTATACGCCGGAAAGTTTCAAGCGGACAAAAAGTCTATATAGAACGCCAACGGAAACATCGATCTCTCGACAGTCGCACAATATAAAGTTGTTTTCAAGTAGTCTTGTCATTCCTGCAAAAAATCTGACATCAGGGGGGTAAAATGAAAGTAAGAGTGCGTTTAGGTGCTCATCGCGAGCAAGACAGAGTCATAAAACATTTCGAGCTATGCGCTTTTTGATACGCTTTTCCAGTTAAGGAAAAATTTCCTCAGCCAAAGAATAGTGGTCCCAGACTAATCAAGAATTTGATGTTGTAACTTCAGACAACCTTGAAATTAACAACGTATGCAAGATTTAGCACGTTTTCGTAGTGCAATGCACTACTTTTTCACGGCGCCGAAAAAAAACTTAATAAATTTTCTTAAAAATAAACTTTCTTTTTCAGTTTATACTTCCTTACCACGCATTTTGGCTTTGGGATGCATTAATGGCTTGTTTTGATCTCGTACTGCGAGCATCTCCTGCTATCTCCAATGGTTGAGCAAAGTCATTCTCTGCTGTAAATCAGACTCTTGTCAGCAAGCAACTTGCGCTTTTTTGAGCTACAGGTTATCCCCCATGAGTTTTGCCAGATTTCATTTTTCATTCCAATAACTCCCTACCTCTTGTTTATTTATTTATTATTTGTTTATCCATACACTCGAAGGTGTGCCAAAAAAAATCCGATTACAAACACATGTTAGATCAATCAACGCGCACTTGTTAGTACGACCTAACCCACAGTCTACTGCTATAGATGTCAAATAAGGAAAGAAAGTGAGTCCCAGTTCATCTTTTGCGCCCAGTCCCTTGTGAAACCCTTAGCAGGTGAGTGACAGTGGGGAATGCCACAATTTATTCGGGTAAAAATGAATAGACTAACAGCTGATTTTCGGTAGTTAGTATCCTCCGCCCTAATTATCAACTGCTAGGCTCACCTGTGGTGGAGATATAAGATAAGGAACAAGGGCACAAGCTAGATATAACGAGAGCAATTACTAGCAGTAGTGAGTGTGGATTGGGAATATAATGAGACAGATGGATAGTGAAACATAAAAGCATAGAAAGCATGGAACATATCTTTGAATTGACAGAAAAAATTGAAGTAAAACGCCCAGAGAAGAACCAAAGACCTGAAAAAAAAGCATCAACCAAACAAAATAAAAACTAAAAAGGAAAAACCAAATAACAACTTGCAGCACATAAAAGCTGAGCTGACTATCACCGCACTAACGACCTAAAACAAATCACAAAACGAAAACATTAACAGAGGTAAGGACCGGAATTCAAGACATCAGAAACATTGATCTTTTGTAAACTTCTTTTAAAAGCAGAACCATTCCTAGCCGACAATAATTCAGGAGGCAAGCGATTAAACCAACGTACGCATCTGTAAAACAGTGAATTGAAAAGCCCTAATAGAACCTCTTATTCAACCTAGGATAATGAAGGTTGAACCCTCCGAGCCTACTGCTAGTTGATCTGAAGACCCAGAAGCTGCTGGGTGAGATCAACCTCCTTACGTAGGATTCGAAAACAAAATAATAGATCCGCTATTATCCTTCTATTCCTTAGACTTTTCAAACCCACTGCTTTGAGACGCTCCTCGTAAGCAGCAGTGGCGTACCGAGGGGGGGGGGGGCGGGGGGGGGGGGGGCGCGAGAACGGGTCGCGAAATTTTTCAAAAGTTACTTACATGAGTTATAAAAATGTGCAAGTGACTTGTTTATTTTTGTAAACAATTAAAATAATTTTTTAAATTTTTCAAAAATTCAAATTAGCCTTATAAAAAAAATTTTTCGGGGCGTGGCTGAGGCCACGCCTCCTTTTCCAGATTTTAGGGGTCGGGAGCCCGCAAAAGTTTTGAGAAGCCCCCCTAAAAATTTTTCGGAGTGCGTGGCTTCCAGATGAGGTACACATAAGCTTTATATAGTTTAAGGAGAAGGACCTGGTCAGAAGCATGAATATTTCGAAAAATAGCAAATAAAGCAGAGTATGCTTTCTTTACTGCATTATCAATAATTCAGTGAAAAGTAGTCGAGTGTCTCATCATTGTGGACTGCAGTAGGAGAAAAATCTCTGCGTCAAAGCATCAGCAGTAAGCTCAAGATTTAGCAAATGGGATTCTCAGCCGATTGCTCATTGTGATACTCATATTTATCGTGGCGATAGGATTGTATGAACACAAACTTAAGAAAAAAAACACAGCTCTCAAATTTTGAGTTTGCTTTATTTGGCTTCAAAGCAGCCCTTCGAAATTTTGGTGAGTCCGTCTGTCATGGCACGCAGGTAGTCGTATGAAATTGCTCCAACCCCTTCACGATAACTGCTTCTTTCACTAGGCGAATGTGCAGTTTGATAGGGCAAGCTTTTGGCTACAACATATTGCTGAGAATTTTTTGCATTATGTGGGGAAAAATGTTGGAATTTCAAGTAAAGGCAATTATACTCACACACTGGAAATTTGGATGCTGTTCCACGAAAGGGAGCGAAAAAAAAGAATTCAAAAAGTTTTAAGATTCCTATCGATCGAATTCAAACAGATTCTTCTATAGAAGAGTCACGGAAAGAGTATAGTTCAAAACTCAGCACCTGCTGCGCTTCTATAGCTTTAATTCAATTCAAAGACAAATGGCTATTGGCACGCAGGTAATAGTGGCAAATTTGGATTTAAGCTTTCGACAGAATAGCTTCTAGCAAACGCAACTACTACGAAGTAATGGCGCAAAGCCTCTTCCGCATTCTACGCATCAGAGTGTTGTAGAATATTCGCAGTATCTTTAGCTTCAAAATAAATTTTATTGGGTCGTTCCAAAAGTAATTTCGCTTTTTTCAAACGGGCACCACATGGGATGGAACAAAGATTTCTAAGAAATCTTGGAGGCATTCGATGCAGAATTTTATTCTCTTTCTAAAGGTCACGGAATTGTTGCAAAACAGTCAATGAGCTTTCAGAAAATAACCAAAATTTGCGACCCATGCTTTTTGAAATGGTCAAGTTTCACGATTTTTTGAAACTTTCATATCAATCTTCAGAAGGAGTTCAAGTAATGATTCGATAGAGTAAACCTTATAGAATACAGAACTGCTTTTTCCCCTTTTCATATCTTGTCATACATTTTTAACAGAATTTTAACTGATGCTACCGATTTCCCTACCTAGGCAGCTAAATCCTCGTAAAACATCAAAAGAAGAGCAGCTCGCGCACTATTCGATGCAGCATTTTCTTTTCCTTTTAAAAGGTGTTTTCTGTTTCCAATTCGTTTAGTTTCCGGGGAGAAATCATCATAACTCATCTTTTTGGCGAGCCCCAGGCTGTACCCGAAAAACTCGAAATTTGATATTTCGAACCCGTAAGCCCTCACCTGCTTTGTAAACTTAATGCCAACTCATACTACCATCTTAGTAGTCTCAAATTCCGAAAAATTATGATGTTTGATATGATTGTGGCTGAGGTGAGCCTGCAAAATCCGATGGTTCTGTTAAAAAATCTTTTAAAAAATTACGGCGAGTTACAAGAAAGAGAAAAAGTAGTGCTGTATTCTGTAAGGTTTACTCTATCGAATCGTTACTTGAACTCCTTCTGAGGATTGATATGAAAGTTTTAAAAAAATCGTGAAACTTGACCTCTCAAAAAGCATGGGTCGCAGATTTTGGTTATTTTTTGAAACGTTATTGATTGTTTTGCAACAGTTCCATAATTATTAGTAAGAGAATGAAATGCTGGATCGATTGCCTCCAAGATCTCTTAGAAACCTTTGTTCCGTCAAATGTGATGCCCGTTTGAAAAAAGCGAAATTACTTTTGAAACGACTTAATATATACCACAAACTTTGATTTTTTCGCTCTGCAAAAGCACCATTTTGATAAATCCAATTCTTACAAAAACATATGCCAAGCTTTTCTAGCTATGTAAAGTGTGATTTGTAGGGAATGATCGTAGTATTATGTGGCACAAATCTGGAATCCAAATCATCAGTAGTTTCCTGATTTACAACACTGCAAAGTCGGCTCCCAGACTTTTGCCTTACCATGTAGAAAGCGGCAAGGATTTTTCAAATCTATAAATGTTTCTTAGCACTCGCGGCACAAATACTTTTAAAGCGTTTATACTGCTAACCAATTAAAGGAATTGTCAAAGGCGATTATTTGAGATTCAGAAAACTGCTCAGAACCAATAAGCGCCTTATCTTAAATTGTTGAAGATTTTTAAGTCTAACCATTGGGAGAATCGAACGGCTTAAAAATCAGTCACGCCGGCAGAAAACGTATGTTTCAAAGCGCAGCACCATCACTTGAGCTTTCGATAATTGAACGTGTTCTTATGCCACTAAACTTGAAATATTGTAGTGTTCAAAGGTCCTTCGCATTTGCCATTTTTGCGCCGAATCAAACAGGAAGCTAAACTCAGAAACCACACACATTTTTACCGTGTAAGAAGATGGATGCGCTAAATGCAGGGGACCCTCATGGTGATGATTCAATATGCGAAACCCGACATAACAGATTTTCGGGAGAGTGAGTGAAAGCAAGATGTAATCAAGAAATGGGCAGCAGTAATTCGCAACTATTTGTTGGTTTGATTCAAAATCGCTATGATTTTGGAAATTCGTAACTGCTTCATTTGTGAATGTATTGTCTTACTAAAAAACCTCTAGATATAAAAATCCATCCAATTTTTAATGACATCCTCGCTGTTCTTCAACGATAGAAGACTTTAGAGATAAAAATTTGATTAGGAGAACCACTCAAATTGATTTTCAAAACCTATTTTCAGAAATCTGAAACGCTGCAGAAAAATCTGAGAGCACGTTTTTTAGAAATTCTGTGAGCTGCACTTCCTAATGGCCAAGATTGTTTATACAAAAAGTTATGATTTTCGTGAAAAATGCAGAAAAATGCAAAAAACATCATTTTAACATTTTTTGCATTTCTCACGAAAATCGTAACTTGTTCATAGAAAAACTCGATCAACAAAGGCTTGGTACTGTTAGCAAGAGCAGCTCACAAAATTTTCAAAAACATGTTCTGTTTTTTGCTGTGTTTCAAATTTTTGACAATTTATTTTCGATAACCATGAGTCTGAATACATAGTACTCTTACTCGAATTTTTATCTTTGGAGTCTTTTGTCGTCGAAGAGCAGCGAAGATGCGGCTAGAAAGTAGATGAATTTTTCTACCTAATGTTTTTAGTAAGTCAGTACGTTCACAAATGGAGCAGTTACGAGTTTTCTTTTTTGAAATTGAATCGACGGAACTTTTGAATCAACCTAATTAGCTACACCCCTCATCCGAGACGTGTCTAGCAGACAAGGATGAAAATATGAGGTAATGCCTTTTATGCTTTACTTATATGGTAGCAGCATTGGGTCCAATACTACATAGCTGTTCTAACTAAGAACCGGAAGCTTATAGAATCCTCTAAAATAGGCTTTTTGCGAATACACTGAGATTCTCAAAATGTCCACAGGTAGGAAATTTAGGAGACAAAAAATTTAGAACACACTTTGAGTACATGCGAGGTGGAAATGGATTGACCGCGACGTTGGAAGCTCGTAACTTCAATAAAAATGAATTTTTCAGAAAATTTTTCGTATTTGGAATACCACTAGAATAAGAATTTCAAGTTATGATATTGTTTCAAAAAAGCTTCATAAAGCATTTCACGCGACGATGTGCGACGACACGTTGCAAAAACAGCAATCCTTTTTATTTATTATGTAGGATTACGGACATAGCTGCCCCGTGTTGATCATGCCTTCCTTCTTAATTATTCAAGTTTATCGTGTTCTGTAGAGAGAAAAACAAAAATCATTTTATGTTTAACTCATACACAAAGTTCCCCCAAAAAATTTACATGAAACACCAACGAAAACATCGATACGATGGCAATCGCACAATAAAAGATTGTTCGCAAGCGGTCTCGTCATTTCTGAAAAAATTTGACTTCAAAAAGATAAAAAAGTGAAAATTGTCCGTATAAGAGCTTATCGCAAGCAAGAGCAAGAGTTACAAAAAGTTCCAAGCTGCGCGCTTTTGGATGAAATCCTTAGCCGGAAAACAGTGTCTCAAACGAGAAGTAGTTGTACCTTCAGAAAACTTTGCAGATGACGAATCGTACTGGAGCAGCTTTTAGTACCTCCCCGCGCATACTGTTATTCCACCAGGGTATTCCTTAAAGAGGCTTATAAATCCTAAGGTAAAATTTGTGCTTATGTATGTACTTTCTTACCTTGCACTCAGCCTTTTTCAATGGTGGAGCCAAGGCAATCTTTGGTGGAATATAGGCAAGCTTTGCTGTAAACAAGATTATTATCAAAACAACTGCGCTTTCAGTTGAGTTATAAGACAAACCTTGAATGAAATGTAGTGTAGCTATGACAAATAAGAACAGAACGAAAGTGGCTTTCATTGCTAGGCTATGAAATCTTAAAGACTAAAATTTTAGGTGGTAGATACTTCGAAGATTATAACCGGTTTGTTATTCTTAGTTAGTCAATTGGTGCAAAAAAAAACGATTTAGTCATTCGATATCACAGCGAATCATGCCCAAAGAAATGAAGGAAAAACGACAAGTTTGGCAAAAAGCAATAATAAATCTGGTCTCCAAATGATGAAAGCGTATCATCCATAATCACTGCTCAAAAACTGAGCGTACGAACCGTACTTTTCAATACCGTATGCGGTTTATCTAGCCCGTCTCTTAGATTCTCATAACTGCAGCACACCTAAACGCCGTAAAAGCAATGAGTGGAACGTGACAAATATTATTTTCATCTCACCAAACAAAAAAGAGTGACTAATTCTTGCGCCATCTTGTCGACGTTTTTCTCCTATGTCTGAGTTCCGTTGAGCGATTTAAAGCGAACGCATGAGAGTTTCTGCAATTCAAAAAAGCCTAATCTTTCTTTCGATTGTACTGCTTAACAGATACTGTACAGGAAAACATCTCGTTCACAAACAAACATGAAGAAAAAATGGCTTATCGCCAACGTGTTAAGAAAGTTTCCGTCATGAAAATGCCTTGAAAATCGCGTTGCAGTCTTTGTAATTTTCAAGACTGATATTTTCTAGACACGTTGACGACAAACTATTATTTCATGTCTGCCTGTGATCAAGATGTTTCCAAACTGAAAGCAATGTATGTCGCTATAGTCACCAAACATTTAAAAAGTTGGCCGGGCAAGACCGGGTACGCCAGCTAGTTTGTAGAGTAGTTCGTAATTTGATTAGAATCTCACGAGGGAAGTACTTTTAATGGCCGTGGCCTTTTGATATGATCTGCATATCGTCTGGAGCAGGTTCGAACGCTGATTTCAAATCTGCTTTCCTTTTCTGCGGAGCGCCCTTCTAAAGAGAGTTATAAAAGCCTGGATATCCTATTTTGGGGGCGCCCTTTGAGTTTGAGAGCGCTGCTATGATCGGCGGTGGTGCAGTGATGTAATGGTTAGTTGTAGGCATTGAAGGCCAAAGGTCGGTGGTTCGAATCTGGTGCAGAGCGAACCACATCTTGTATGTGAGTTTAGAAACCACTCTAATTCGTCTCGGTCAACTGTAATGCCCTTGGCTACGACCTATGGGAAAAATTTTCTGGCATAACTGCTTGTAATGAGACCCTGAAACTTTACTGATTTCGTTATCAGTTAAACAGGAATGAACATGGTGAAGCATGTTCATCAGTATATAAGGCTCAAGTCATGCGCACTATCATCAATCGAGAAGATGTTTTCCCTTGCCTTTAATTTAATGAGTACCTATCGTTCGTTCGCTTTCGCTAGAGTGGGCGGACCACTGCAGACATGACATGACATGTAATCGGTCGATAAACCTCCATCCTAGAGCATTGTTTTTTGTACTCTCTCGCCATCCAAAGCCGCCACGCGTGGACGTAGACAGTGCTCCGCCCACTCTAGCGAAAGCGAGCAAACGATACGAGCGTGCGTCATACGCTGTTCCCGTTGCGAGAAATGTCTGTGTTCTGCCCACTTTGTAATTTCGCTTCACCTCCATACATGTTTTCTTGCGGAGAAAACCAAATCTTAATAAGCAAACGGTTTTGCCAGGAAATTTTTTCCTTAGGTCACATTTGTTAAGAGCATCACAGTAAGTGCCTGCCGACGAATTAGAGTGGTTTTCAAACTCACATTCAAAGTGCAAAATAGTTCGCTCTGCACCGGATTCGAACCATCGACCTTTCGCCTTCAATGCCACACCGATTCGCCTTCAATGCCAACAATTAACCATCACACCATGGCACCACCAACGCAGATAGCAGCGTTCTCAAACTCAAAGTGCGCCCCCAAAATAGGATATTCAGGCTTCCATGACTCTCTTCAGGAGAGCGATTCGCAGAAACGGAAAGCAGATTTGAAATCAGCGTTCGAAGCTGCTTTAGAAGATATGCATTTCATATCAAAAGGCCACGGCCATTGATAGTACTTCCCTTGTCAGACATGTTTTTTTGAAAGCGTGGCTGAAACTACACCTTTCTATTCTTCCAAATAGAAGATACTCGTATAAAGACGACAGCAATGGATGCTCTTTCAGAAACGATAGCTAATGCGGTGACGATTAAAATCCTTTTTTCCGTATCTTTGAGCTAACGCGCAACTTTTTGACCCCCCTGGGAAGCGATGATATGGCGGCTTTGGTATAACTTGTTTTGGCATGCTAAGTGTTAACGGAATGAGTGAGTACATTATGGCAAAGCAATTTTGAGATCCAGTGTGTCATGGTCTAGCGGTTTAGTGATAGGATCTTCGCTATGCCGTACAGGTTCGAGTCCCAGCTTTAACGTCTCTTTTACAGCAAAGTGCGTAGGAACAGCTTCGAAGCAAAACTCTGAGCTTGGGAGTTGGAACCCGGAACATTGAAAGCGGAACTCAGAATTATCTTTGACGCGAAGCTTTAAACTCGGAGTTTCGACCAAATTACTACCGACCTTGATTATATGACTATATGAGGGAAAGATGTTAGAAGAGACAGATATTTGAAGACTAAACACTCTGAGTCCAATCGGAAAGAATGATGTACTATTCTATCTGCGACACTCAAATACGGCATTAGTGAGTCACCAAGAAGATTAAGAAGTTTGGTCTCTATCTCATTATGTCGTATCTATCTCTAGAAGGAAGGTAAATTTCTTTTGAGCAATTGACAACTCGGGAAACATCTGTGGATAGATGCAATATATCCATCTATGTAGTCTATATATTTATAAGTGTAGTGGTATATTCTTATATTATAATTACACTCCATCGATTTCCTTATAATGTTAGTTCGATGATAGCACACAAAATACGCGTGAAAGTATTTTTGACTGGAAAAAAATACATAAGCGTTTCTTATAAAGGCATGACACAGTTGGACCAAAGCGACTGTCTTGACGTTGACTATATATTATGCACAAAAAACTTTGGAAGCCGAGAAATACTTTAGTGGACAGTTGGCCAGCCTTCAAGCCTGCTTTTTTCAAAATTTTTAATCTTCTACTAACTAATCGAACGAAAGCGGGAACGGTTTAGACTACTGACGGCAGTCTGCTAAACACACAGCTGTATCAAGTTTCAGATCAATTCGTTGAGAAGCAGAGAAGCTACGGTAGTTTTTAGAGCAGATCTATAGTTTTGACCAGCACTGTATTTATTTTGATAAGTCCCAAAAGCTAAACAAAACTTATAAAAGAATTGTTCCGCATGACCTCCTTCCCTTTTCTCACCTGTTACATAGTACACGCATATACTAGCTTTACACCAACTTGACTCAAAGCAATGAATAATCTAAATGAGACATGTTGTAGTCAGAGTCCTGCACTTGGTGGGCAAATGACATGCTGGAAATCGTGCCCTCCTGAGGTTGGCAAAACTCCAATTCACATAATTTTTTCAAAATTTTTACATAAATCTGTTCTACACCTAAAGTTTGGTAAGCAACATTTTGGTCCCAAAATTCTTCTTCTCCTCCTTGTTCGGATCCGGAACAGCAAGGACGCCGGTCCTTCCGAGGAAGAAAGGGCGCTCCAATCGAACAATCTACGCAGCTGGCGGGATCAAGTAGGAAATCGTAAAAATCATAGTGGCAAGAGCGAAGATGTTTTACCGATGTTTATTTGCTACCCTCGTGCTAAGCCCTGGTTGTAGTTTTTTTTTCGAATGAATAAGACATGTGAGTGCGGTCGTAATGATGGTGACGCAGGTAGGGCTGTGTGTTTTTTCCCTCAAAAAACATGCAAACTTTGAATTTCAAACAAAAAATAGCGTAAAAGCCTGCACATTGTTCTGAATAGACTAACGCTTTTCGCCTTTTTCGCACTGCCTCAGATAAACAGCTTTAAACTGTAAAACTCCGTAAGCATATTAGCGCGTCCGATATTTCCAACAGACCTATGATCCTTATTCGAAATGAACTCACATTTTCTTAAAGGACATCGAACGCTGATTTTATCTATCTTTCTCGCTGCAGAGCATGGACAAGGAGTTATGAGGGCTTTTGTAGCAAAACTTTGAATTGTCTATTTAGAAGAAAATCAGAAGACTTTCTGTTGTAGAGCCATCCCCTTATATTGAAAATTGCTCGCCCGCTATAGGCTAGGTAGATATGGTCTCTGGGTTGCGGCGTACCCGCCGCACCTTGATATATTTGTGTGTTGTTCTCGAGTTATTCCTAGTGAACCCTCGACAACCTAGCCTGTACGCCGATGGGCAGAGGATGAACTCTTGTGTTTTTCTAATAAATCGTCAACGGTTCAACGCGTTCCACAACACTCTCGTAAACTCAAATGTAACACTCGTGACTGTCACTTTTAATGAAATAGCCCCTGCTTGCTATCTATCTCCGTGTTCTCCAATTCCATTTGCGAGTTGGAAGCGTGTCATTAATGATTTCACTCTAATCAAGGGCTCAGTTTCTTGGCTCATAAAACGCTTGCAACTCCTCACTTAGAGGCGCTTCGCAAAAAAGAAAAACAGTTTTGAATTCAGTTTTTATGGCCTTCAAGAATATATACATCTAAGCTGGAAAGGCCACTTCGACTAAGGATCCTTCCCTAGTAAGACCAAGCACTGGATCTGGGTCGCCACGAAAAGTTCGCCCCATAAATTCCATTCACAACTCCCTACATGTTGACAAACTACTCTAATTTGTTATTGAAGAGAGTGTTACAATTTTGTGAAAGGCGAGTTTCGATTTGCGCGACCCCGTCGGCATGCCAGCGAGGAGCAGCTGCAACTGCATGATTGCAGCTACAACTGCATGATTGCAACTGCAACTGCGGTGTACGCTTACAGCTAAAACTATCGTGGACCCGACCGAAGGAGGCGGGCCGTAAAAAAAAGGGACGGCCTCAGAAAGAATCGGCCGCGTTTTCTCCCTCTAGAAGCAACATTTGGAGACCGGACCAACGCAGTTGGTCATCTTCTGGGCACTACAAATGCACCGTATAGAGAACTGGGTAGCATAAATGGATGTACGCTGCCTCTAAGGAGAACATCACATCGTGATTTTCCATTCTTAGAAGTAAAACTTCAGCGGAGCACGAAAAAACTCGATTCTGCTTTTTATTTAGGTTTTATGGCTTATTCTATACCAGTGCGTCACCTCCTCTTCGCGGAGGTTCGCACTAGCTCTCCTATCCATATGACTTTCTTATGCTCGCATTATGATAACTTGAAACTCATCACGTGATGCTGAACATCACAAATGAAACGTAAACAACTGTTCATTCTTGAAGCATTTTCACGTAAGATCGGTAATTTTGAGAAGAAAAACAATTTCGCAAAGGAACAAATGCGAATTTATATGGATTAATGAATTAGTTTTGGCTTGTAGTCGTCATAAGGATAATAGTCACTTTGAGCTACATTTTCGTGCAAAAATCTTCTCA